GCGTGGCGCAAGACATTCAAATGAATGGGTTTCATAACGCCCCGCCGCGCATGCCGCGTCCTGTTGCAAAAGCATGTAAAAAAAAAATAGAAAGTTTGCTAGGCCAAAAAGACTGTCAATCGCGCAATAAAAAATTTGACCCCCATTAAAATGGGTTTGCGGTAACGCCGTTAATAACGCGCTTAACTGACAGCCCTAAAGGCCAATTTATACTTCTGCGTAGGGTGTGCGAAGTAGGTACGGTGTAACACACGCAGACGCATACCATACCGCGTACCCTTCGCCGTAGCTTGAGGCGCATCTCCTTAAAAAATTTAAATAACATGTCACAACGACGCGGACCGCAAGATCTGTGATTGGTCGGCTTGGTAGCATCGCATTTCCTCCTACGCATTTCCGCACGTACCATCTCCTCCAACGTCTTTTCTCGTGTCTGCCTTTTAGTTTTAGTAATTTCACCAAAATTAACTGTTTTTCCACCTCAATAAGCTCCAACTCCAACATGATCTGCTCTCTTTCAGTCGCCATTGCTTGTAGTAACCTAGCCGCGAAGAATCTAAACACAGTGGAACATTAAAACCCTCCGCCGCCAACTAGCGTTTCGGAGCAGTACTGCAGAGCAACCAAGACCTGAACGCAGAAGTGCTCATGACAGCGTCGCCTACGTGCGTAGCCTACGCCATACACTATGGCGTACCCTCGACGCAGAAGTATAAATTGGCCTTAATTGTGAAGCGTTTGTTCCTGGAAGAAAACTCGAGACTACAATGGAGGCATTTCAGGGAGTTCGTAAACTATAGATAATAAGTTTCTCTGGGTTAACTTTGCAGACATTTTTCATGCTCAAACAGCAACATTACACACTAAAGAAAGCTGACCATGTAAAAAAGCATAACAGGTCCTTTCTAAAATCCCAAATTCGACCTTACCTTCACAAAAAATGTGTAGCAGTCAGGCTGCTCATGCGAACGAACAGTTTGCAAATTGATTCCTTTGAGCGCAAAAGTGATCTCAATCTCAACAAGCCTGTTTTTCAAACAAAACCAAAAAGCCAATGAAACCATTACGTGATAAATTAGAGTTTTGTTTACATGTTTCGATTATATAATTTACGTTTACCAACCTATAAAAATCCAACTCAAAAAAGGAAGCGTTGTTCAATCTCCATGTTGAAGCAGACTCTGGATCAAGAGCCAAGCAAACTGGAAAAGACAAGAATGTGGAGTTTAGGCACAAAATATGTTTTATCGGCTACAATATTTCAACATTTTCGGTAAAATGTGTAACCTGTTTCAAGCTGGGCGTCAATATCATAGTAATCCTCATGCGGTTCCAAACTGCCTCTCATGTAGCTCTTCTTGCAGATAATCATGTGCACAAACTTTTCATTCTCCTCAGCATAACTAACGGGTCCCACAGACAGGTTTCGTAACTGGGAATACTGTTGAAGACGTGGATAATTCTTATTTGGGTTTTTTTAACTCAATATAATCATTTTAAATTGCCGCACATACAAAAATGAATAGCACTTTTGATGTTTAAAACCGTGCACTTACATGAGATTAGAAGACTTATAAAAGCCATTTTATTTTACATGGAGAGGGTCACCTCATGGGGGCAGACATTTTGAAATCACATGATCAGTGAAATACTATTTTAGTATTTAGGGTTAGGGTTACTCTAATCTTTCCATCATCAGACACTTTCTATCATGGCGGACTGATCTGATTCTTTTTATTTGCTTTCATGTGATGCTTTCATCCAAACCATTAGGTATCAGTATAATACTGCATTCACACAATGTCGTAATTAGCATTATAACGAAATGAAAACATGTCCTCGGAATTATGTATTTCTATGGCAACACTATCAATACCAAAATGAATATGGAATGATCAGGTGGTATCAAGTTGGAGTCATCGTTTACTCACCCTTAAAAAACGGTTAGTTCCATACCTTGATTCTGATTGGTGCTTTATTCATTCATGATAAAACACGGCTATGACCGCTTCACCGGTTCTATTTATCACTATCTTGTTTTTATTTGACCTTTCATGCATATTACACATTGAGAAGTTGTTGCTCTTCATGTCAGGGACTATTTTTTTCTAGCGGAAGGAAGGCTTTTAGTGATTTTACTTCATGAAAGTTGCACTAATACATTTTTTTTTTTTACTTTAATATTTTTAGTGTGTGGTAACCGTTTTATAAAAGCAATAAGGTACTCGAAGCAAGTGCTATCTTGAATAAGTAACAGCTGAAGGGGTTACTCTGCTTCGCGTCGTGCCTAACAACGCCCTTCAGCCGTTACTTATTCACGTTACAGCATAGCCTCTTGTACCTAATTGCTTACTCAAGGTGTTCCAAACCAAACATTTTGATTTTAATAGTATTTTTTTTTCTTTTTCCATTACTATGGAAGTCACCAACTGTTTGGTTAGTGCCATTCTTCAAAATATCTTTTATGTCCAGCAGAAGAAAAACTCATACAGGTTTGGAACATTATGTGGTTAAGTAAATGACAGACCATTCATTTTTGTGGGCACTATCCCTTCAAGACAAAGAAAAACTGCATTTAACATAATTAATGCTATGCGATGGAAGGGAAAATAAACGTGGAGAAAGAAGCAAGATGGATGAAAAGCAAATACATACCTGATCTATGACATAGTATAAACTATCATATACATTCTGTTTGGTGTAGACAGCAATACTGTAGTCATCCTCATCCACACCACTGTAGCCCCTAAGAAACAGATTCTTAAAGGCCATCAGGTTCTCCTCCTTGTAGGACACCACAAGCTGGTTATTCAGTCCAAACAGTATGAGCTTTGAAATAAACAGAGGAGATGTTTTCATTCTGCCTGGTGGAACATTACAGATTTGTATGGAACTTTAAGGAAATTACTTTAAATGGTCATTTACAAAGCCAAAACTACTGATGTTTAATCACATAATGACAAATCCTTCAAAAGTTCAGATAATGTTTACATTGAAAGCTGAAGCGTTACATTTCCACACCCCTAGCTTCAGCAAATGGAACTACAAACTACAAAAGTGACTGTGTTCAAACAGGTTCCTAACCACTCCCCCTGCCTTCCATTGGTCGATCAAACAGATAGCCCCACCCCCAAATGACACAATTGGTTGAGCCACTGTTGCTGATTGTGATTCGCAAACAAACAGGGAAACAGTTTTTTTTTTAAAAAACACACATTTACACATTTCAACTTTAAGCAAGCAGGTAATAACACTATACCTGGAGAGTAATCATGAATATTTTCAAAATTTGCACTGCTAGTTTCCATGGTAGCTGTCGCCGTGTTCTGTACTTCTCACAAGGGCTCATGAAGTAAAACCTCAGGTCATCTCTCAGTGTCTCTTCTGCCATGGGATCAGATGGCATGGACGTAGAGACGCTATATTAAAATATACAGTATATATCTGATTGAAGATAAATCTGCAGAAAACATTTTTTTTAAATGTATTAAATAAATGGTTAATAAAAATCAGCTTTAATCTGTGTTATTTAGTAGTTTTAATTACTTGAATATTATACCTGTAAAATAATAAAACATAAAATATTTGATGTGTCCAAAAGTTTGTTAATAATAATAATAATAATCAGAATTAAACTAGCCTATATACACTTCTAATTCAGATGTGTGGATAACATTGTATATCCCCAATGAACAAACAGTTTGAGAAGTGTGACTTGTGATATGTTACAAAAATGTATTAGAGCACAAGCAGATGATAAATCAACTTTGTGACACATCACCCATGTGACAGAATTCGGTTTGGGATGAGGAAGATGGAAGGGGTCAATGAACAAAAAGAGAGGGGGCAATGAGTTGCTCAATATCCCTTTCTTAAATTTTAACTGAGCCTTTGTAAATAACTGCTAAAACTTAGCAACACATTTCACTACCAACGGAAGTCAAAGCGTCCGCTCAATGGCACTGACAGACATGACAGCTCATGACATGGCGTACTGTCTTCAAAAGTAAAAGTTTTTAAAAACATTTTCTTTGCAAAAACACAGTTAGAACAATCAAATTCTGCAGTGTCGTGCATTTGATAAACGTTAAACCTAAATTAAAACAACGCGACTTTGGTTGTTTATTTATAGTTGTTTATTTATCATGCCAAATAATTCTATCTAAGGATTTCAATAAAAACTGTTGTCAAACTTACCTTGACATGTCAACCCTGACGCCATGGGAGTAAGTATCAGACATTTCCATGCCACCTGTTATCCAGCTGTTATCTCAGGACAATACGCGTTTCCCAGGCACAAGCGTTCTTTGATCACTAAATTACTAAATAACCTCGCGCTTGACGTCACAGCTGCTACACATTGAACAGCTTCCATCGACCAATCAGGAGTTAGGAAGCTTCCCGGTGGGCGCGAGCTCATTCTACCAAATAGAACGTTCTTTCAGTTGCTCACGGACTTGAGAAACGTCACAAAGGTTCGATTGACGAACTACGGAGTCTCAACTTAAAACACAAACAGACCACACGCTGTTTTTAATTAGTTAAGTGAACAAGGTAAGGTAAAAATGTGTCATTTGTAGTTTTTTAGATGGAACTTATTTCTGAGGTCACGAGGTGCATTCAGTTTCACAAAGAAATAGCAACACTTTTGAGAAATATCCCCTATTAAGTCGTCGAGAAAAAGTTTTATTCTACATGGAGCCGGTCGCCGGTCGCCCTCATATGGGTATTGAGCTGGACTATCTATGTCATCAAAAATATGATGAAAAAGATTATATATGACAAAAGAAATCCTAACAGCTCAAATCACCTACAACAAGCAAAGCAATAAAAATAATCATTGAGATTTAATCCAAGATTGTTCATTATGAATGGATGAGGTGGAGAAATACAGTAAAACAATACATCATTTTGTGTAAAGAGGCAGCAGATAGTGAGCAGATTACACATCCTGGCCAGTAGATGTCAGTCTAAAAGCAGTGATGTTACTGGGATCAAAATAAGAGGCAGCTTATTGTTGGCAAAAACCAACCATTTTTTTAGGATTGTTCCTATTTATCATTTATTTATCAAAAAATGTAAAAAAAAAAAAAAATCCTTTCATTGTCCTGATTCTTGGACTGGTTTCCTAAAGCTTGAATAACCTTCCTCTCCAGCTGCAACATCTGCCGATGCCCCCTGCACAAACATAAAACAAGATTTCTGGTCAAAATTATGCAGGTAAAACATACAGTAGACATTACATACAGTATACAACAGTGGAGTGTATGAGTTTAGTAGTGAGTTATGGCATATTATGTATTTGATAAGTTGTGTACCCTATGTTGTGGCTTCAGGTTTAATGGGATATGCATGCACTATTGATTGACCTAACATAGAAGAACAGAAACACATATACAAAAGAATCACAGCCCATTCAACACAACATAAATCATCACATAATCAAAGAACCATAATTTCAGCTGTAATGACAGACATGCGATGATAAACTTGGGAAACATAACCTGCAGCTTGAGGTCGTTTCGAGCAGCCCATATCCTTTTAGTGCACATAAAGTGCTGCGATGTTTGAATTAAAGGAACATAAAGAAATATTTATAACATTTTTATACAGTATATATTATATTAACTATACAGTATATGGAGAAAAGTTGAGGAACACCAGACCAATTGCACCAACAGAGACTGTAATGACATTGCATTAGAAATACACAAACATTTAACATGGAGTTGGTCTCTCTCTCCAGCTATAACAGCTTCCACTCAGTGAAGACTTATGGATTGAATTTGTTTCTGAGGGAATTTTCCCCCATTCCTCCAGATCAGGCACCGATGATGGATGAGAAGGCCTGTTTGTTTGTTTTTAACACCATGCCAGCTACTGTTCTGTGGCTATTTTCATGCCGAGAAAACTTGTGTTAAACTACAGTAGATCAAGTGTTTACAATTTATTTTTGCTAAAAACTCATAAAACCACATTTCGTGTAACTAACTTTGTTAAATATTCCTTTAAATGAGCTAACTGAATAAAAAAGGTTTCTCGCAGGGTTATAACCAACACAATCTAATAAAACATGCTTCAATGACTAAGAGTTTTGACAGAAAGAACATTATGATTTCTCCTCGTATTAAAAACTTGTGTCATCCTGGAATGGCCTATTCTGCAACTGGTACAAAAAATCTGGTCCCGTTTGAGATTTGATATAAACTTCTTTCAACATTTGGGCTGATTTCATGAAGATTGTTCATAGTATATAAACCCCACTCTGTTAGCCATTTGTTGGTAATATAGAAGTGATTTTTGTTTTTGATCCATTGGAGGTACTATGCAAATGTGGAAGTTTGCAGACAAATATTTCTATGTGGAGTGATTTTTCTTTATCACCAACTCCATATTTGAGCGCAAATTGGTAGAAAAAGATTTCCTGCGATAATAAAAGAAAGTAAATACTTAAATGAGTAAATTACTGATGACATAAGTAAACTAAAAGACTTCTTTCCAAAAACATTAAAAATCTTTCCCAACCCCAAACTTTTGAACAGTAGTGTGTTCATGTATTTATTATGATGAACCAACCAACCATCCAAATAAGGATTGGTATTCAAATGGTACTTGCCTCATTCCCTTGATTAGCACCAAGTGTTTTCACATCAATCTGAGGAGAAGGCACATTGGTTACAGGCTCACTTCCATCTGGACTCTGTGCGTCTTTCTGCTCTTTTTTATCCACGGTAGATGGTAGGTCTACCACTAGATCTTTCTCCTTTTCCTCAACTTTGACTTCAGGCTCTGCATTTTCTATTGTACTAGGGTCCACCACCTGTGTCCGCTGCTGAAAATCAGTCTCATCATCCCTGGATGCGTTACCTGCAGCACGTACAGTCTCTACTCGGACCCTCTGGGACACTCTGGGTGAGCCAGAAAAATCCTGTCGGAGCTCCATGCTTCTGTCGTCCAGTCTATTTAGTTGGTTTCCTGCTTGATTCACCCTGTTTCCATTGCCCTGGCGTATTTGTAGTGGCTGAGGGGCGTCACCCCCTTCCCAGACGTCCCCATGCTCCCTTAGTTGAGGAGCTTGGCGCTGTCCTACTGCAGGAGGTGGCGGCTCCCCTCTCCAGCCCACCCGGGGCAGGCGTACTGCTTGATGCATAGCTGCCTGAGCACTTCCATACATAAACACCTGAGAAAGAGCAAAGATGACTTGGTATGCGTTTTTAACAAGAGATTTAACATTTTTTTTGTTCCCAGCACTTACAAAGATGGCTAATGCAATAGTAAGCAGCACAGGTATCTGGAGAGTGACTGGTAGATCCTTCAACAGTGCTCTCAGGAACTCACTGATGCCTTCCCCAATTTGCTTCAAGGGATCTGTGATGAAGCTGGTTATGGTTACCGTGATAGCCTGGAATATGAACCCCACAACATTTACACAGATTAACTTCTGAATATTTTAATTCAATATACCAGTTTCAAAAATGATCATCTGATAAGTCAGAAATAAACCATAACAATATTTTTCGGTATTGACAATATCCATTATAGTCTCTTATTAAGTTTCAAAGTTTCTCTCATTGGAAATTAAAAGATACAAACCTTTGTTGGAGGCACAAGCAAAATGGGGTTCACAAGTAGGACCTCGTAATATTTTTTGCAAGGATCATCTTGAAGAGTCCATGTCCGTCTGTACCACTCTGAATCAAGAAGGAGTTACAACAATTCATCCCTATTTGTCATTATTTATTCAACTTCATGTCATTTCTGATGAAATAGAACGGTTAAGATTGAAATTTGGACAAATGCCGCTGTCCTGAGAATTTTAGGTTTCATGCGTGTGTGGGGGTACTAACACAGAAACCTAAAATTCTCAAGACAGCAGCATCTGTCCAAACTTCATCAGAAACGATCTTAAAACAGGGCTTTAAGTGTAAAATACCAAACTAACCCTTTAAAATCTGTAGGTTTTTCTTACATAGTGCATTTTCGTTCTTTTTGAAGCTTGAAAAGATCTACGTGTAGATCCTTCAAAATGCAAAACTTATGTTCCATATCAAATGTATTTGGAATGTCAAAAGTGAATAAAAATTGTAAATTTGGGGAAACATTCCTTTATAGTGAGCAACTCACCTGATAAACTGTCCTTCCAATCCAGTTCCTTCACCCCTGTACATTTGCCATTGAAGCTCTCCAATTCCACAATGTTCTTCTTGTGATCTGCAAAGGCAACCTAGCCAAGAGGAATTGTTTTTTAAACACAGATACACACACACACATTTAATTCCCTTCAATAGCTATGTTTTCATCCAAAGTTGTGAATTTAACTAAGGCCGTCTACCGGAATCTAGTTATTTTAGTCTATAAAGTTTTTAATATATTGATTTTTTTTTTTTTCATTGAGTGCATGTTTTAGAATTGATGTGTTTGTCATGCCATATTCCAAAATGTCCATTAAAAATAGGTGGATGGAAACATAGCTATTGTCAACTGTTGAATACCGGTTTAGCAAAAATGTCACTCAACAGTATTTTGTGCAAAAATGTTTACCATATAAAGATGGAACCAGTTCCAGATCAAGCTAATAAAAAAGCAAACAGAAAACATTCTCCTGAATTGGACCAACCAGGACACCACAGACCAGAGTTCAGTCCCGATAACGGCTACGACAATCAGAACAATCAGAGAAACCTGTAGAACAAATACAGCACTCGTTAATTTATTAATACTGATATTATTTTTTTGTTTATCTCTGAAAGGCTTATACAAAAACTGACCCTCAGGACTGTATCAGCATCTACATAAAACGTGTCTTCGAAACGCCATTTCCAGGCTTCATGATTGTGGAGTTTGAATTTGACCAGAATTTGACTGAGCGCCTCATCCATGGCTCCAGTGGTCCAGTCGTTCTCTTCGTTCAAAAGCTTCTGGATCTCTGCCAGCGATTGCTTGGACAGCTTCACCATGGCGTCATAGTGCATGGCTGTTTTTACATCATCAGGCTAAAGATTTTAAAACAGCAAAAGTTGTAAAACCTTAACCAGTGCAGAGTAATGTTGTGATGAAAACACACACATACCAGGCCAAGTTTTGAAGTTTCTTTAAGGAGCTTGGAGAGGAACCGCTTGAATACTGGAAGACATACTGGTTTTGAAGAGGTGGCGGTCCCCTTTTTGTGTTCATCAAACTAAAACAGAGGAAGCAGCGGGAAATAATATTTTTCAGTCATTCAAAAAAGTGTTGGATGACAATATACATTACTAATCTTCATTACTTAAAAATACCATGATAAACCCATTGTGTACCATGTCCAAACAACATGGCAGTACCATTTTGTTAGCATGGTCTATGAATAAAGGGTGTATTTTGATATTTGTCACCTGTTTCTGTAAAATCTGTAGTTTATTGATGCACTCAGAGGCATCAGACAGTGGCACATCACAGGACTCTGAGCTGAATTCCCGTCTCTTGGTTGGCACATTCTGGTAACTGTCAGACTGTGAAAAAACATTAAAAATTCATAGAAATGGTTAGAATGTGATGTATATTTGAATAACCTGGTTAAAATGAATCACACTTTGTCAACATGTCAGAATAATGACAGCTCAGTTATTCAGCCACAGCTCACTGTAAATCAAACTGTCTATAAGAAATCAGTGTCACGTTAAGCGTTTTCAGCTAATTTGTCTTGGTTTTCACAAAGGGTTCAAGTTGCTCAGGTGAATTTGCCACATTGCCCAACATAAAGCTGCTTGGTTCGAAAGGTTATTTCTCTGTGAGCTGCACTTCATAGCTAATGAAAATAGATATACAATGGACCTTTTTGCTAGTGAGATTTGTTGACTCCGCTTGTGTCAATTTGCTAAATTTGTCATTATGACGCAGGGGATTTAACTAGCCAATAAAATAGAGATTGATGAACATGCAGTACACAGCAGACCAACATCCAAGGTCAAGGATTTTCCCTAAAAAGTTCAAAGACATTCGGTTTGTTTTTCTACCAAACCCTATCATTTGCCCTCAGAATTTCTCCTTTGGTGGTCTGAAAAAGAAAGGTTCAGAACAACGCGCCAAGGTGGGGTACTTACCCAACTAACAGAAACGGTCGTTCGTTCACAGAACTTGAGATAACGTTTTGACAAAGCTCACACAACAAATGTTCTTCCATAAAATGTTCACTCTTGTCTTAAATAAGGTCACCAAACGTTGGCACAAAAACATTATTGTTCAAGGAACATGTTTCCTGGACGTTCGCTTGAATGTTAACTTGGGATTCAAAACATTCCCATAATGTTTGCAAAATGAATAGCCGGATGTTTCGAACATTCATAGCTCTTTTAAACGTAAGAACATTTGGGTAACTTAATAAATGACGGAAATTTCACTTTTGGGCGAATTAGCCTTTCAAAGGGGAAATGAAAGGGTCAAGTTTACATTCTTTAGTAAACTGACTTCCAATATAAAACACGATTAATGTTACAATTTGAAAGAAAAAGTTATGTTTTGTTACAGCTTTTGGAGCAAGATGTCGGCGCCCTTTTCCAAACGCTGTAACAAAACATCCCATTTGCTTTCAAATTGTTACATTAATCGTGTTTGTATATTTTATTTATTAAATCGGAAATCATTTGACAAAATAATGAAAACCGACTGACTGCTTCATTTCCACTTTAAATTCTAAATCAACTAAGTTAGTTCGTAGCTAAAGTCTTAAAACGTGCCACACTGCGGTGCAATTTACGATTTAAAAGTTTGACGTTAGTTTTACTTCATACACATTTGATGAAGGGTTTAAATGTCCTGAAAACACTGTAATACGTTTATAAATTATCATATTTTTTTTACCTCTGTGGGTTTTCTCATGCGCTTTGTTGTTGGGTCGTAGTTGATCATGTCATATGGATCGATCCATGCGTCGTCATCTCCAGGGTGGCGGATTTTTGCATTTTCGCTAACGTTAACTAACAGACTACAGAAAATAAAGAAACCCCAGAATCTAAACGACGAACAGCTTGGCAACTTCATAATCCCCACTTGAACAAACAATGAGAAAACTCAGACTTAACGTTACTAGTAAAACTACTGATCGATTAAAGTTTAGATTCAGCTTTCTTGGACATTTTATTTACTATGAGTTATCCAGATTTAACCTACGTTTACCTACATGTGCTAAATGTAAATGCATATAAGTTACCCACTAATGCTGGCTAAATAGAACAAAATAGATTAACTGTAAACAAATCGCTCGCACTGGGCAGCTAACATTTCCTTAGCCTAACGTTACATGTTGGAAAAGGCAAAGAGCTGTCATTTTCTGCCACATAGAAAACACGAATAGAACCAAAACCGGAATTGTTAAACCTTTCAAATACGGTTTCTAAATATTCATATCTATGTGCAGTGCAGTCTTGAAGAAGTTTCTTCTTTAGTGTAACGCCAAGAACTGAAGTGCTACTCATCGCCCCCAAGTGGACAGAGGCAAAGCTATGTAACATTCAGTCTTGACCACTGAAACAGGAACAGTATAAAACATTAAATATCCTCATGTTGGACTTTTGCAGCGCGTGTCATTGCTTCATTGACCACCTGTCTGTCTCTATGTATTTAAGCCTCTGTTTCCTCAATTCATGGCTCTGCTTCGTCAGTGTCAGTGAGTGATAAGTTTGGGTTGTGTTTCATGTTCTTGGTGTTTATTAAATCACTTTACCGTTTTGTTAGCATCACGCATCTCGTCTTAGTTTGGATTAAGACTGCATGCTATTAGGCTACCAGTGACAATTAAAGCACAAGAAGATGATAAATCAACTTTATGTGACAGTTACTGTAGCATGAAATGATGATGGTCAATGAACAAAAAATGGAAAGGGAGGGAAAAGGGGTTGCTTAATAGTTAATATATTTTTAACTGAGCCTTACACAAGCAAATTCACTTTTAAATTATTTCTTTGCAGAAATGCAGTCTGTGCAGAACAATACAGAAAATTCTGCAGTGGCATCTAATTGTTGTAATCGTGATAAAATAAATGAAATTGTAATTTGTCTACAGAACATTATTGTGATAAACTATATTATAGTGATTCATTTTAGAATGAAAATGTTGCGGTTTAAAAAAAGAATAACAAGTAGATTTGTAGAAGACAGTGATTCATTCATTAGGCTAAATCCCATAGTTGAAAACTGTGTTTATTTCCATGTTCAAATAATTTAACAATACATACTTTATACAACAAATGATTGAGAGAGTCCTATAATTGGTATCTGCTGTGTCAATAGAAAAAGGTGCTGAATTGATGTGCAAAAATGATGCATATAAATATATGCATTAGGACAATGGCAATCCAAAATAAAAGCATTCCTAAAATGCACGATCCGTTTCAACAACACCGAGGATGACTTTCGTGAAACATTTATCCTCAGCATTTACTGTACGGGCTGTTGATTTATTTACATTTATTTAAATGAAGAGATGAATATTCATGCTGCATAAACAGTGTTGGCATGATGTTCATAGTGCAATGTGCTATACAATGGTTTTATGCCTTGATTAGCATTTAAGCCTATACAGGAGCTCATATTTACAAGACATTCAGTTGAATAAGTGTAACTACAGAGAACATCCTCAAGGCACAATTCAGCTCACATTTTCAGGACTGTGTCATTCACTCTAAATAGCAAAATACAGAAGCAATGCTACGAGTGAAATGTTCTGTGTTTGTAAGTGAAAAAAAGTGTTTTTTTTTTTCTGAATTGTAATACATATGACAATAAAGCTATTTCTTCCAGTAAACGTGCAATTCCAAATGTAGACATGATGGGCTGGGAACGAACAGTCGTTTTGGAGTCGGTTTTGACTCTGAACTGTCTTTCTAAATGCAGAAGGATAAGTGTTTCTGTGGATCAAGGCTGATACGCCCACAGTGTGACCGTCTTATCAGCTGAAGAGGACAGGAAGGAAAGGTCTCTGGTGTGCCATCGGCATTGGATCACTTTATCACCGTGTTCGGCGACCACAGTAACTGGCAGGGTTTTGGTGAGATCACCTGGAGAAAAACAATTTCATACTTCCATAGTGTGACATGAATAAGTACAAGAGGCATTTATTATATTTATTAAATACATATTACAATTAAAAAAAACCACACACATATTGAAAAGGAATATAAAATGGCATTCAAGCCGAGAATTGCTTCTTTTATGCGGCAAAGGAACAGTATAGTAATACGTAAAAATAAAAAATAAGAACAATATTAAAATTCAAAAACAATATATATATATATATATATATATAGATAGATAGATATAATTAATATTTGTACTACTACTTAATTTTGAAGCTAATTCAGTGAAAAGAATTGACAATATTCATTGAACTGTTCTTTTTTAATTTATGATAAAATTATCAATAATAATACATTTATAGGATAAAAACAGATATTAAATGGCATTCACACGGCATATTCTTCAGTGTGGTAAAAACAGTGGAATGTAATTTTAGTATTAATAATAATAAATAGTAATATTAAAATTCAAAACCAATTCATAAAAAAAAAAATATATATATATATATATATATATATACACACACACACCGTATATATACATACACACAAACATACGCACAATTTTTATTTGTTCTGTAATATATAAACAATATAATATTCTAAGCAAAATTAATTGAAAAGAACTGACATTATATTTCTTTAATTGATTTAGAATTTTAATATAGTAAATAATAATAATCAAAACATGACATTCACAAGCCATATTTCTTCTCCAATGTGGCAAAAACTTTGGAATTACATTTTATTATTAATAATAATAATAATAATAAAAAACAAATCAGTGAAACAAACTGATATTAAAATGACCAATTCAATAAATAATCTAAAATTAAATCATAGTAATTCATGAATTGTTTTAATATATATATATATATATATATATACTGTATATGAAGTATACATCCTGCTATTAAATGGTAATATGAAATATTAATACTAATATTAAACTGATGTGAAATGTCACCCAGAAAGCAGATTACTTCTATTCTGTGACATTTTGAGTGAAAATATTAATTTGATTAGATCTGATTAGATCAAGAAGAGGCAGGAGACTTTTTATGACAGGTGGTTGGAGAGAAATAATGATATTTACAAGCACAACCTACCTTGAAGATCAGTGATCATGACTTTGTTGTCATAGGACCCGGTGAGCAGATAGTGAGCTCCAGGAGAAAAGCGCACAGAACGAACGTCGCTGGTGTGCGGGCGATACGCCTGGACGCTGCGCCCGCCTCTGATGTCATACAGCATGCAGCGACAGTCCTCCAATCCGGTTGCCATAAGCCGCCCACTGGGGTCCACTGCTACTGAGGCCACAGCACTTCCTGTCACATGACACAACAATACAGATGATCCATAACTCTGGCATTCTTCTTCCACCATGGAAGTCTATGTACAGCCCAAATCACTCATGTTTATGGTAATAACTTTTAAACCATTAGGACTAGAAACAAAAAACGATCATTTTCCGTCATAAAAATTTATTTAATACTAATAATTACTGAAATACTAATACTAATAATTTAGCAGTAGTTTAGTATTATTATTATAATCATCATATATTTCATTATTATGATGATTATTATTACTATTTGCCACTGAATTGGATTTGAATTTTAATATTGTGTTTAATAATAATAATTATTATTATTTAATGCTGTTTATTTTTTGTGTTGGTTGCTTTCACAAATTTTATATTGTTAAATAATAATACTTTTTTAGCATCACATAATATTGTATTATAATTCACAATTTTACATTTTAAAACTAATTCAGTGAAAATATTTTTTTTATTATTAGATTTGTTTGCATCTGTTCATTGCAATGAATTGGTCAAACTGATATACAACCTTATCTGACTGATTCATTCACAAATCACTCTGAATTTAATTTAGTTAGTTAATTTAGAATAAAGATTTCTAGAAACGTCTAAATCAAACAGCTAGAGGAATCATGAAAAAATGGTGGAAATTCATTAGTCAAAAGGTGTGTACATAAATAAGTTGAGAAGACAAAAAAACACACACCCGTTCCATGCACAGCCGTCCCAACCACCTTCACACAGCTGGGCACGCGCAGATCCCAAAACCTCACCGTCTTATCCTGAGATCCAGAGGCAATCATCCACCCGCCCCACGTGTACAGAGACAGGATGTGCCCTGCGTATCGTGCAACACAATATAACGTCCAGTTATAGACACTGAGGGCATAAATGAAGAGGAGGGTTAGCGTGTGAGAGCACCTGTGTGGCCGCTGAGTGCGTGCAGGCCCTGTCCTCTCTGGCAGTCAGTGGTGTAGATGTTACAGTCTCCAGCCCCAGCACTGATGAGGATGGCACCTCCGCTCTCGGGACCCTCCATAAACGCCAGGTCTCTGATAGTGCCGTCATGCATGCTGAACTCTAGATCCGGCCCTGCAGTCCAATGCACACGCACTACCCTGTTAATATTCATATACTCCATTCCAAGAGCATTTAGAAAAACATTTTATATAAGGTAACTATGTGTTTAAAAAAAAATAGATATAGTGAATAATAATTCTATATATTATTGTACATTGGTTGTTGTCGTCAATATGTGCAATAAATGGTTGTTGTACATTAAGTGCAATAAATAAAATAATAATATTGAAATAAGAAATTCAAAATTTATGGTATAAAGTCACAGACTTTTTTAAATAAAGTGTATAAATATTTAAGATTTTATATATTAATTAAATATATATATATATTAATATTAAAAAGTTTGGGGTATAGTAATTTTTTGTAAGAAATTAATATAATATTTATTCAGAAAGGAAGTGATAAACTTGACAGTAAAAACATTTATAATGTTGCAGAATATTTCAAAAATAAATGCTTTATTTTTTAACTTTCTTTTCTTCAAAGAATCCCAAAGATTTTCAGAAAATATAATATAATATAATATAATATAATATAATATAATATAATATAATATAATATAATATAATATAATATAATATAATATATAGGGCTGGGCAACGATTAATCGTGATTAATCGCATCCAAAATTAAAGTTTGTGTTTACATAATATATGTGTGTCCAGTGTGTATAATTATTTTGTATATATAAATACACACACATGCATGTATATATTTAAGAACTATTTGCATGTATATACTTTATATATATTTATACAAAATGAATATTATTCATAAATATAAATATTTGATATATTAATAACATATTTTTCTTAAATATTTACATGTGTGTGTATTTATATATGAAGAGTTCAGATGCAAAAGCCTCTAAATGCCATTTGAAATTTTCTTCTTTAATGATGATTTTTATCAAACTTGTATATTTAAGTTCAGTAATTTCACCTAAATAACAATTAATAGGTAATTATCATTGCCATTTAAGTGAAATCACTGAACTTAAATATACAAGCTTGATAAAAATGATCATTCTAGAAGAAAATTTCAAATGGCACTTAGAGGCTTTTGCATCTGAACTCTTCATATACAAAATAATTATACACACTACACACACATATTATGTAAACACAAACTTTTATTTTGGATCCGAATAATCGCGATTATTCGCTTGACAGCCCTAATAATATAATAAAATATAAGAATTTCTGAAGGATCATGTGACACTGAAGACTGGAGTAATGATGCTGAAAATTCAGCTTCAATCACAGGAATAAATTACATTTTATTCAAATACAAAACAGTTATTTTAATTGTTTTAAATATTATTTTATAAAATAAATGCAGCCTTGTTGAACATGAATGACTTTTAAAAACATTATCAAAGCTTAACAAGCCCAGACTTTTGAACTATAGAAACATAGTCCGTTTTCACACAATAAAAGAATAATCTCAGAATATCTCATGTGCATTTATTTATTTTTTTGTGAAAGTAGGTGTGAAATAAAGAATAACATTTATTAGAATAACCAATTACTTTCAGTCGATTACAGTATTACAAATACTTTCAGTGTGTGTCATGATTTAGTAGGGAAACAGTGTATTTACACTAGAAAAGATGTATTTGATGTGACATTATTAGGCACGTTACCTGTAGCGTTGCAGGTGTCTGCGTTGAAAGGAAGAACTTTGACATACTTGTCATTGGAGCCCGTGGCAAGAAGCTGCCCGCAGGGACTCCAGGCCACACAGTAAATAGAGCCTTTATGGTGTTTAATTCGCTTGAAGCAGATGTCAGGTTGCTTTGCTGGAGCTTCAGTGCTATTCAAGAAGAACAGACAGAGATGGTTACAATTCCTCATTTTGATTATAGAAGCATAAAGGGTTTTCGCACCGGAGGAACCTTTTCATAGTTGCCAGAACTTTTAACTGAGGTGAGTGAAAAAAAGGCAAAAGGGAGTGAAAAGAGGTGCTGCAACAATGTGAAATATGGGGGGAAATGTGTTTTTTCACTTTTTTAAGGCTTGGGCCCTATTGTTTTCCTTCCATTTTACTAACTTTTGGGGACTTTTGGGGCCCTTAACATGCTCGAAAACTTGGTCCATTAATTAAACACGCTGGCATGTAATAATATGAAACTCGGTACACTTATAGATCTCATCAGGGCGAACAACTTTCGTGCTCTATGTTTAACGTTTATATATATATATATATATATATATATATATATATATATATATATATATATATATATTTATAAATATAGCTGCGAGCAGCGATTACGGGCCAAAGCGGTGCTACCGGCCTGGGCCCGTAATCGCTGCTCGCAGCTATATTTATAAATATTTTAACCTAGTTTTCCATCAAATAGACCTCCCAAAAATATACAGTATATATAGGACATAACACAGCTTTTTTAAAAGTCGGTTCACTTCCTGGTTTGGGTTCTGCAAAGCCGTCTGGTGAAACTTCCTGAATTTTTAATATCGGAATAAAAATTCACGGATTTATGTAAGTTTTTCCCAATGTTGTGGAGCCCTAAAAGCGTGTTAAAACGGAGCACGTGCCTGTTTTTGAGGGACTGTGGGTAAGTGCAGACACGCAGTGTTTTGGAGTTGGAGCCGATAGCATAGAGAGTCCCAGACGGGTGGAAGGCGACCGCGCGCACAGCCTGCGTGTCCTCCAGCGTCTCTACTGCAATGAATGGGGATTTGGGTTTCTCGTCCTGAAACACACTGTCATGATATCTCAGCATTAAAACAAGCTCACAAAGCAGAGTTACTTCAGCTTGGTAGGATTGAGAGCTTTGAGAAACCTCTGGTTGACCAGTACTGGAGACTCGTCCAGAGACGGCACGCCCCGGCCTCCTCCTTTCTGAGGGGTGCTGCTGATCACCGGCGTCTTGTCCCGGCCGGAGCCGCTCTCTGGGGTCTGTTTACCGGCTCCGCTCGCTGCCGTACCGTTACACTGCTCGGCCAAAGCCTGGACGTCTTCTCCCAGATCTTCCATACCCACATTCAGTTCCTCCAGTTTCTGAATGGACCTGCACAAACCATCAAGATGATATCCAGAGAGCAGGGTGGTGATGGCTTATATAATGCTGATACTACAAAATACTACAAATATATTATAAATTCTAAATTGCAGATAATCTCAAAATTTACAAATATTACTAGATAACTGTAACTATGTCAGTATATCATCATCATTATTAGAATACTTTATTAGATAGATAGATAGAATAGATAAAAATATAAATAATAAAATATAAATATAGTGTGTAAAATACATACTATTCAGTTATATGTAATCAATTCAGTTAAATTTAATTAATAATGCCAAAATATACATAACGCAATTTAATGACAGTGAATATGATGCTTAATAAATTGCTGAAAAAGCCACAATTGGTAAATTAAAAAACAAAAATTAGTATACTATAAATGTAATATTATAAAGTGCTGATAATCTCAAATTTAGATTAATCACTCTGAATATATGATAAAATATATATATATATATATATATATATATATATATAAATGATTATAAGATTAATAATTATATTATATAACAAAGTTATATGTGCTATTTATATGATCCCTGTTATTTATGTGCTATTTATATGATCCCTGCCTGAAAGTAATGGCTCATCAACAAATCAAGTGAAACGAATGCGAGTTTGTGGCAAGAGGCTCTTACTCGCTTCCAATCATCTTGACCGCCAGAAGCCACACAAGCATTCAACAGCAGCACATCTGGATGTGTATGTACAGGAGGCAGCTGGATCTGACCTGTTCAGGAACTTCTGCGTGAGGTTGTGCTGTGCTGCGTCTGTGGGCTGGTCTGGAGGATGAACTCCACCTTCCAGCAGCATCTGATGGTACAGCTGTCTCTGCTGCTGCTTCTGCTCAAGATGCTGTTGCACTCGCAGACGCTGACGCTGGAACTCCTGCAGCTGCTCCTACACACACAAACACTTTTGTTTCCACTGAATACAGTCATATAGGTTTTGTATGACACGAAGGCGAGTTAATGACGACATAATTGTCACTTCTTTAAAGGGTTAGTTCACCCAAAAAGAGAGCATATTAATCAAGCGGATTAAGTTTTCTGCAGAGACACAAGTAGATTGAATGTCTTATTTTGTTTTGGCTTATATATTTAGCTGTATAGCACTACTGCATAGCATTTTTTTGTTTGTTTGTTTGTTTGTTTGTTTGTTTTGTGTATTTGTTTTTTGTTTTTTGGCTTTTGCTATTTGTTATGTTAAATTCAAGCTGCTGTAAGGTCAGTTTTTTTTTTTAATCTAGAATCGAGGACCCCCTCGAAAACGAGATGGCTCATCTCAAGGGGCTATTCCTCTTTAATAAAAAATGTCAAACAATGTCAAACAAGTAGATTGAATTTAGGCTTTTATTCACATATGAACATTGATCAACGGGCATCAAATATGTTAAACAAAAGCTGCTCAACCGTACTTGCTTTTTGCACAAGATAAACCTCATTGGTTCTTGCGGAAACTTTAACATGATGTCGTGACGTGAAAATGATCCTCATTGGTTCTTGAGTTTTCGTTTGCCATTGTTAAGTGCTCTGTGTAAATCCGCTGATCAATGTTTACATGATTATAATAGGCATGTGCCGGTTACCAGTTTCAAGGTACACCGCAGTATATGCCGTTCCTGCGGTATGAGTATTTACATAATTTGCATTTAGAAACAAAACGTGCACCAAACATCCATGATGAGAATTGTTTATAAATCTGTTATCAACAAAGAGAAACATAACTTTTCCAGTACAGTAGTGTATATTATTCCAATAGTGAGATATTTCTTTATTAATTTAACACATGTCTGGCTCACTTAAGTGACTGCATTTTTGGAGTTTTTTTGTCGTTGTTTATTCACAGAATATTTTAATTATTTATGTTCTAATTATTGTTGAGCTGCAGGTTTAGGCTCACTTAAGTGACTGCATTTATTTAAATTTAACTAAGAAAAATTCAATTATTTATTTTATTATCTAACCTGAGATATGTTTACTACTGTTTCAAATATTATATATGTTGCTTAAATATATATATATATATATATATATATATATATATATATATATACATACACATACATACATATATACGCATATATACATATATATATATATATACACACATAAATATATATATATATATATATATATATATATATATATATATATATATATTGTGTTCAATGGAAACGTTTTTTTTACCCAGATATTTTAAAATAGCACATTTAGAAGTGTAATCGCAATATCGCGATACCGTAAAACCGTGATATTTTTGCTTCAGGTTATCTCACCGTCAAAATCTCTTGGCCCATGTCTAGTTTATTAAAGCCTGAATTAAATCATATTAAGCAATCATGTCTTTTAAGAAGATGTGGATTAAACTGCTTGATTCATATGGATTCATCTTACGATCCCTTAATGAACGTTTTGGGTGAATACACTCAAATCTCTCAGATTTCTCTCAAAATATTTGTTTCGAAGATGAACGAAATACTTACGGGTTTGGAATGAATTGAGGGTGAGTAAATGATCTTTGGATGAACAGACCCAGACAACAACATAGTGTCGGCCTAGATCCGGCCCACATCCGGGCCGTGTGAAATCCATGTGTACTAGATGTGGGCCGACACTATGTTGCAGTCGGGGAACCCTTTAAGGTCCTGGGCATGTACTGGAATTAAGTTTCTGGTTTAATAGGGAACTAATATTACCTCTGGTGTTTCACCTGAACCCATGACTCCTCCATCCCTGCCGGGAGTCAGTGGAGGACGCAGTGAGTTCGTTTCTACGGAGCCGTTGATCCTCTCGGCCTGTGCTTGCGCTCTGGAGGAACAGGACAACGCCAGTCAACAGCTTAATATCTAAGGATGAACAGATATTAAATTCAGGCTGATGCAATACATTGATAATTCATTTTACACTATGACCAATCAGAATATTAAAAGTATACACTGTTCTCTCGGAACACATTGGAAATAAAATAATAATCTTTTTTTATTTTATGTAGAAAAGTTTTCTATTTGAATTTTTCACATCATTACTCCAGTCCTCAGTGTCACATGATCCTTCAGAAATCATTATATTCTATATATGATGATTTGATGCTCAAGAAACTTTTCTGATTATTAGCAATGATAAAAACAGTTGTGCTGGTGTACCGTAATACTTTTTTCAGGATTATTTGATGAATAGAAAGTTTAATAGAACAGTCTTCATTTGTTTTTACTGTTACTTTTGATCAATTTAATGCATCCTTGCTGAATAAAAGTATTAATTTTCTTAGAAAAACTGACCCCAAACATTTGAACAGTACGGTAGATTAATTATCAAAATCTTATCTAGTATACAACACATTTCTCTGGCATAGAAAGTTTGTTTTGGACTTAACTAGTAAAGCTTCCCGGGTCTATTTCTGTGGGTTTAACTGGATTAGAAGTGATAAGCTTGACCACCATATGTTGAATTTCTGACTAGAGTAACCACGCTGCATCTAGGACATGAACGTCAAACCAGATTTTGCCATTTCATACTTTAAGGTGAAGTGTGTAATTGTTTATGACTAATACCGTATCTTCCGTGGAACACAAAAAAGATTAATTATCCATACAATGAAAGTCAATGGGGACCAAACATTGGACCCCATTGACTTTCAATGTATAGACAAAATAACACAGGGACCAAGGGGAAGTCATTTTTGCATGAACTATCCCTTTCAGCGAGAACACGAGCCCACCTGTCCGGCGATTCACCGAAGATGTTGCTCTCCACTGCGTTTTTGTTCCCAGGATACCCAAAGTTGGCGAAAGACTGGGACATGGCCGTTGCCTTTCCGTCACCTTCAGTGCTTTTCTTTTCCCTTCCCACCAAACCGTGCGACAGACCGTCCAGGGCAGGATTGAGAGAGCGAGACATGTAAGTATCCGCCGATTGGGGTCGGCGTAGTGGCGATGCCGGGCAGGGCGAGAGTTTGGTGAGCAGAGGCGTGAGAAGGTCCGCGTGACCCGTCCGGGCCGGTTTGATGAGCCGGTCCACGTGGATGCTGAGGGTCTTCTGCTCAAACGCGCAAGCGAAGACCGATGGCGAGAGGTTTTGCAGCCAGGAAAGCAAACTCAAGTCCAATTCCTCACAACCGTTCCCGCACAGAACGTCGACAGCTAGGAGAACCTCCTCTTCGCTGATCTCCTCTCCGGTCGCTTTGCTCTGGCAGAATTCAACGCAACATTCGTAGAGTATTCCTTTGATGAGGAGCTGGAACAGACGGTCTCCGCTGGCTTTAAATCCCACTTCGCTAAGTTTGCGGTCCGCAGGGATGAATTCGGCCACCATGGAGCAGGCTTCCTCGAAGCAGTGGACGCGGGCCGTACTGGGGTTCCAGTCCTTGAATTCGGCATGGTTGGTGAGGCGCGGGAGCGTGAGGAGCAGACAGAGTTTGCTGTAGTCGTCTTTAGTCGGACAGAACTCTTCCAGGGAATGGAGGGACTTCACCGCGTCCTGCATGGTCAGCTCCAGCTGGGCGAGGGAAAGAGAGAGAGGTCATCATGGGTTGCTTCCTGAATAAAAGCTTCTTTTGGGCACATTCTGAGTCAAGATACAAGAGGCTTAACGTGAGATGGCTAAAAATATTCTTCTAATTCAATCTTTTTTATTTATTTATCAGTATTAAATGCTACTTTAATTTTACAAACAATAATAAATGTTTATATATATATATATATATATATATATATATATATACACATATACATATATATATATATATATATATATATATTGCAGACAATTTCATGGTATGAATAATAAAAGTAGTAAATAATTAATTTTGCATAAAAGACCAGTGTTATTTATTTATATATTTATTTTAATGGCTATTTTCAAGGTACCATTTATTATAATAATAATAATAATAATTTACAATTAAACAATGATAATTTTGTATAAAACATGAGCATTTATTTATCAGTATTAAAGGCTATTTTCATGGGACAATTATTATTATTATTATTATAACTGAAAAATAAATCAACAAATAATGATTGTCTGCTTTTAAGCTAAATTCAATAAGTTAACTTTAAAAATACTTTAAAAATCTTTAAAAACCATCACACTTTTTTCTGTTTTGCTTAATTTATTTATGAGTTTATCATTTCTGGTGAAAGCTTACAACAAATATAATTAGGGTTGTCAAACGATTAATCGCGATCCAAAATAAAAGTTTGTGTTTACATAATATATGTGGGTGCACGGTGTATAATTATTTTATATAAATATATAAATACACACACATGCTTGTATATATTTAAGAAATATTTTCATTTATATACTGTATATAGATTTATATATAATTTATATTATATATAAATATCAATATTTTATATATAAATATTTTTTTTTCTTAAATATACATGCATGTGTGTGTATTTATATATATATACAAAATAATTATACACAGTGCACCCACATATTTTGGATCGCGATTAATCATTTGACAGCCCTAAATATAATACAATGTAGAATTAAACATTTTCCATAAAAGACAAGCAAAATGGATCTTTTCTAGAACAGCATGATGGCATTTTGTCCATACGCATAAAGACTCACATTCTCAGGGTCATCTGATGCAGATATGGCGTTGTTTACACACAGAGCTTCCAGAAATTTCTGTTTTAGGATGATATATCGAAACCTGAAAGAATAAATCAATAAAAAACACACTGAAACAAGCAACACATGCTTGGGTGTCGACAAAAGATTCCAAACCGAGGTCGCTCACCTCTTCCTGTCAAATTTATCCAGGCACTCCAAAGGCTGAATGAACTGCAAAACCTCCTCCCATTGCCCGTCCAAAACAAGTTGCCTAAGAAAGAAATCGAAAAAGGCCGAAAATTAGTTCACCTACCCAGTTAAAGAAGTGACGTTAAAGAGTGACGTCACTGCAAAAAAAATGCAAGTGTCCTCAATACTTCAGCAACTGAAATATACACGCTTTTTTGCTTAGTCCACACTTCATTAAGCAGCACGACCATTTCTTAACAACGAAGCAGTGTTTTCTTAAAGTAAATGGCTGCTAAAATGGATTACGAAAATAATTTCGCAATATATAACAAGAATACATTCAAACACCTAGACCTATACTTCTAAATGCTTTACTGATTCCATGCTTTTGAACAGTAGTGTGTTAGAATCACTAAGCATACATTTGTTGTTTAGGTTTTCAAAGACTCACCTCAGGAACAGCATATCATCTGAATAAAGTCCATTAATGATGCCGCTCTCCTTTTCCAGCGCCAGCATACTGATGTGCAGCTTCCTGGAGTTCAGAAAGTCCAGGATCAGCTTGATTATCTCCGCTTCTTTAATGTTGATAATCTCCTCTGCAGTCATGGTGTCAGATTCCTGAAGGGACGGAGGGAGAAGGTGATCTGTCAGCAAGGACAGCAAGAGCGGTGTGTGTGTTTGTGTGTATAATAAATCCTCTACAACGTGGGACCACACACCATCCCCCACAAATATATAAAATGTCAAAATAAAATAAAAAAAATCTAAAACTAACAAACAAACAAATCAATAAAGTTCTGTGGTGGTTAGGTTTAAGGGAAGGACAAAATGGAATATACAGTCAAAACAAACAAATAATCAAATAAAATTAGAGTTGGGTTTAAGGGCAAGAAATAATATATCAGCATATTAAACCATATAAATGAATACTAAATAAGTACATAAAAATGTGAGAAATGCGTTGAAGGGAGAGGAAATATCAATACCTCAAAATATCAATATATTAAACCAAATAAATAATAAATGTAATAAATATATTTATTTTAAGTAAACAACAAAAGTAAGATTTGAGTTTAGAAGGTAAAAACATAATTTTCTCAGAATGTTGAAATAAATAAATAATAATTGAAAGCATTTCATTAAAAAATGTAACATTACAAACAAACAAATAAATACAGTGAGGGTTAGATTTAAGGAAAATAAACATGAATATCTCAGCATATTAAACAAAACAAATAACAAATACATGAATGATAAAACACAGTTAAACATTTAAAATAAATAAATAAAGTAAGTAAGTAGGCTAAGTGAGGGTTAGGAATAGATTACAGAATGGTAACCGGGTTAACATTAGCATGGTTAAATACTAACTAACTAAATAAATAAATAAAAATATTTATAGGGAGTAGTCTGTAGTGATTAACTAGTCTAAAAAAACATAAACACAATATAAATATATTATGGTAAGTAAATTATTCAGGCATGCTGCTAAGAAAATCAAGCGTACTAGCCTACATCATTTAAGTAAACTATGTGACACAGAGAAAATAAAGTCTGGATTTATTTTAAATGCAAATAGTTGCATGCAAGTACTGCGACAACTTGAGCCATATGCAGTACTGTCAGCAAAGAGAAGCGTTTGAATGTGGAGACAGCCATTGGGTACATTTAGATTATTGATCTCACCTTTCTATGCACTGACTGACCCATTCAACTGAATGCAACCCCGAATCTGTCATTTTCGCAAACATGTCCATATATAAACAGTATGCACGCCCTGTCTGGCCCCCAAACCAACGCAGTGAAGCACTCTCTGCGTGTTTGCAAGACACCGTTAAAAAGATCCATGCAGGGCAATTGCAAAATCTTACCAAAAATCAAACCTCGGCCAAGCCCGAATTGTTCAGTCAATCTTCTCCAGCGCGTTCCTTCTAACGCGGATTAGCGCGAGCACAGCGTTCCGTCGCCCGAGCGTAAGGTGCGTTTATCGGTTTATCCCGACAATGGCTCGGATGTCCCCACCCACCTTCCGCCTGTCTCACTCTCCATCAGCAGCGGCGGCGGAGAGACGCGTCGCGCCGCGCCACGCGTGCGCCGCTCCCGGTCACACCCACCGAGCGAGCGCTCCGCTTGTTTTTCACTGTTGAGGTCAATTATGAGTTTGGGAACATTATGCGGATTCAAATGATTTGGGTTGGACTGCAATGGACAAAAACATACACTTTTTTTTTACATATCTTAAAATTGTGACACCCCAGAAATAACATTGTTTAATGATATGTTATTATATAAATTAATTGTATAGGCTACATTTAATTTTGATATTTCATGTTAATTTGTATTGCTAGAAAGCAGACAAGGCTGTGGTGGTGTTATATGAACACCTGATGGCACTATGCCATCACAGGACTGATCCAAAAATATGGGCCTGTCCAAATACGCACACTTGCGGTCTTTGCACTTGTTCACTTGAACATTTGTCTACTTCATGACGTATTTCATCCATTTGGCCCAAGCGGGCGTGAAGAACGCAAAGTGTGCGTAGAACATTTGATTATCCGATGGGACATAGGCCTACTTCCGATGGGGATAGTGCAAGTATGCTACATTATTTTGATGTTCAATACTTTGCATTTTAAAATAAACTAGATGTCTGTTCAGCTGTCCCTATGACACAATTTAGTAAATAAAAAGCAGTTGCAAATGTTGTACAAAATACACGTAGGCCTCATCTTTGCACATAAAATGTGCAAAACTTTATGTTTGACAACCAAATCATATGTAGCCAAATCATATGTATAATTAATGTAACTTACCATGAATAATTTTGTAATTTTAATAATTAATATTTTTTGATATTTAAGGGCTTATATGTGAGTTCCTGAACATGATGCATGATGGGATATGCTCCGAAACTGTACACGAGATAGTGTTGGTTAAGTGTGCGATAATAACATTACAAAGCTTTCGCATTTTTAAGACCCACAGTCATATACTTCCTGTTGCATGCACACACTCTCATGATCAAGACCACATGGGTATTTTGGACAGGCCCAATGTTTTGAGTCTTACAATCGATGTTGACCCAATCTGTCAATTAAGTTCATTTGGACGTTGGCTGTGTCCAAAATCGCATTCTCTCTTGAGTATTTACTTCACGAATGTGTGTAGTATTAATGTATTCTGGATGTACTACATTTGCCATACTGTCATTTTCATGTGACGTACCATTTCCTGAAAGTGAAACACCTTCTCATTTTGAAAGAGTTTAAAGGCCTATGATATACCCTGTTTATCCCACAAAGTACTGACTTAGGATATTAGTGTCCAAATGACTGTTCTAGCTTTGTAAGTTTACTGCTGTTCAGTTTGGTTGAATCTAGGTCACAGAGGAACTCATCCATTTTGAGGCTACGCTTTTGTGGCACCCAAGTGTCCGTCAATTCCTGTCGGTAAGCATGACCCTGTTTGGCAAAGGCTTTCGTGTGTTTTTACACATTAAATGCAGGTTAAATGGGGCAAAGTTGTTCTCAGAAGGACAGTGCCCCACTTGCTGACGTTGCTTTAAATACACTTAATGAGGCCTTGACTGTCCTATCTCTGCATTTCACATAGCTGCCTAATGATCATCTGGATCTTTCACACCAGAACATATGATACAGGTTTGGGGTTGATAAGATGTACGGTAAGCACATCTTATCACCTTAATGTTTTTTTTTTTACCACTTTCAAGGCCCAGAAAGGTAGTAGACATCGTTTAAATAGTCCGTGTGACTTCAATGGGTTAACCTTAATGTTTTTGTTTGTTTTTTGTATACAAAAAGTATTCTTGTCACTTTATAACAGAATTTTTATTTTTTGAGTGAACTATCCCTTTAAGAGTATATGCTCTCCAAGGCTGCATATTAAGATCGAAATACAGTAAAAACAGTAATATTGTGTAATAATATTAAAATTGAAAATAAGTGAATGTCAGCATCATTACTCTAGCCTTCAAAAAAGAACAGTAATTAGTTACTTGAAATCGAAATGTTGTCTCTTTTGAACAATTTAATGCATCCTTGCTAAATAACAATATTGATTTAAAATAATTTTTAAAAACTCTTAGCGAGAATTTGTCTGTCCACTCCATATGGCACCAGAGACAAGGCTTCGAAACACGACATAATCAATCATTAATTACAGCCAATCAGAAGATTGTGTGGGCGGAGCTCTCCCTGCAAGTTCACTACAATCGTCTCGCGCACGAATCGAAGTGGGTTGGTAAGTGAATCCGTTTTATGTTTATAATGCATGGACTACTCAGTGACTGACACAGTCTTTGTCATGAAATACACTAGGTCACAGTTTGAACGTTCTTATTTTTCATTTAATTTCATTTCTTGTCAATATCTAAGGTAACTTTGTCGCCCTTCCCAGCCAGTAATGACATGTGGGGCCTAGATGAGGGCTTCATGGGCGGCAAATGTGGGTCCCATTATGGGCTTGTACCTGGGATCCACATTGGGGAAGCCCAGACATACTAAAAGTGGGCCCAAATGGGTCTAAAGTGGACTTGCACCCGGGATCCAACCATGGCTACCCAGATGGGCTTTAAATGGGCTCTGCAAGAGTCTTATGTGGGTCCACATGCCAGACCCATTGGGGCCCCACCTTGCACTCAGGATCTAGCTGTGGATGACCAGATGGGATTTAAAAGGGAACTAAAAGGGTGTTATGTGGGATCTTAACCGGGCAATTCATGACAGACCCATTTGGGCCCCACATGCTTAAAGGGCATTTAAAATGGGCTTGCACCCGGGATCCACACAGGGGGCCAGCTGTGGATGCTCAGATGGGTTTTAAAGGGCACCTATTATGCCCCTTTTTACAAGCTGTAATATTGGTCTTGGGTGTCCCCAGAATGTATTTGTGAAGTTTCAGCACAAAATACCCCACAGTTAATGTATTATAACCATTTGAAAATGTCATTTTTGGGGCCTGTTTAAAAATGAACTGTTTTGGTGCATACGACCTTAAATGCAAATGAGCTGCATATCCCCGCCCTCGCGCTGCCTTTGGATGAGGGCGTCACTTGCAGACCTATGGCAGTTGGTAAGCAGAAGGGCTGAGAGAGTGAGAGACCCGCTGTTTTGAATGTCATTCAGCCGTACATGTTTGAATCGGAATATATAAATAGTCTCTGATCAGACCCCGATGACGAAGAGATTCCGGCAGAATAAACACAAATGAGAATGGACAAGTACGTCTCGGTATGGTTATTTGATACATTTATGTACTTATAGAGATGTAATCGCGTCCCCTTTGAAATTATGGATGTGCAACACACACACACACGCACACACACAGAGAGACACACACAAACACTGAGAAGATGGCTAACTTACAGAGCAAGAACATATATGCAGTTTTTAATACAATATCTTTAAAAATATATATATTTATAAACGTATATTTATAACTTTATAAATTTGTAAATATGCTATTCAAGACCCACATGTGTTCCCAGATCAAACCCATGCCCACTTGGACCATAAATATGCTATTCAAGACCCATATATGTGTTCCCAGATCAAACCCATGCCCACTTGGACCATAAATATGCTATTCAAGACCCATATATGTGTTCCCAGATCAAACCCATGCCCACTTGGACCATAAATATGCCATTCAAGACCCACATATGTGTTCTCAGATCAAACCCATGCCCACTTGGCCCATAAATATGCTATTCAAGACCCATTTATGGGTTCCCAGATCAAACTCATGCCCACTTGGACCATAAATATGCCATTCAAGACCCACATATGTGTTCCCAGATCAAACCCATGCCCACTTGGACCATAAATATGCCATTCAAGACCCACATATGTGTTCCCAGATCAAACCCATGCCCACTTGGACCATAAATATGCCATTCAAGACCCACATATGTGTTCCCAGCTCAAACCCATGCCCACTTGGCCCATAAATATGCTATGTAGGACCCATATACTGTATGTGTTCTCAGTTCAAACCCATGTCCAATTGGCCCATGCCAGTCCCTTATGAGGCCCATGTTATCAGCTCATATGGGCTGTCTATGTGGAACTCATACTACAAAACCTACGGACCCGCTGATTTCACCCAGCCAAAGCCAATGCCCACACAGTAACCATGGAACCTGTACTTAACCCATCTGGGCCCCACATGTCATTGCTGGGCTAAACGTAGTGACTGGTTTGCTATAGGCTATATTTTTTCATGTCGTGGCGTCTGTTAAAAACAGGTTATGTGACAACAACGGACGTTCAAAGAAAATTTTCAGTTCCTTTAGTGACTTAATAAGAATGAATGATTCATGCACGAAACAGCTCAATTCCTCATATTTTTCCCTCTTTTGCCCCTGTCACAGTATGTGGGTTGTTATCTAATCACGGTCAGTCCGATCCTTTTGTGAGCTCTGAAATCATATAGACAGATGTTGTGCTGTTAACATAGCCAATGTGTGCATTATTAATTGAGAGTGGAAAAAACGTGTGAATGATTTTCTATTTTTCACATTTATTTGTAACCACAGTCCATGTTTCGCTATGATACAACCAAAAGTTTTCTCACGAATTCTTAAAGTTTACAATGAATTTATGAGTCATTCAACCAAGAAACATAAAAGACAATCAGCATTATATTTACAACTTCACATCTACAGAGAAATGCTACATTACATCATTAAATATGTGCTTAGTAATATTTAAAACATTGAATGTTTTTTTTTCATGAAAGCCTATTTCTATACATTAGGGATTTTTTTTTTTTTTTTTGCAAATCATTATGACATAAGTAAAAATATGACATACTGTAGTAAGTCAAATCTATCAGAAGAAAATAAAAAATTATGACATACCAAGTCAAAATTATGACATAAAAGTTTAAATTATGATTTAAATTTTTTATGCCATAATTGTGTCTTTTAATGCCATAATCAAGATTTACCGATTTTTTATTTTTTATTATGTGGTGGAAATGGGCTTCCATAGTTTATAGAGGACAATTCTTATACTTATGGCCTGCGGTTTCTGTTGCTTGAAAGAGTGTCATACTTCCTCAGTGGTTTAATGGTTTCAGTTTTTTTGGATGCTGCCAAGTTGGAGATCTCCATCTGATTCCGATTTCGCCTCCAGCAGCCTGTTTCCACTGGTTTGGTGTTTTCATATATGGTCTCTAAAAAAAATAACATTACTGTTACATCAAATGGTTAACGGTGCAAAGCACAGGCCGCGCTGAGGGTCTGGAGGAAAGCAGTTTTGCTGTGCATGCTTCTGCTGCTCGAGTTAACCACAGACACTGAGAGGCAGACTAATCATCATACACTGGAGCTAACTAACTCTTTTAACCACACGCCACCCACACTCATTCAGCGCTCAGTTTCCAACCAGGTAAACGTCTGACCTTGAACAAAGACTCCTGAAGATGTGTTTAAAAGTTCTGTCATGGCATGATTTAAAGTACAACAAGAAGTAATCTTGATTCGTGCCTCAGTTTATAGCAAAAAATTATGGTTACAGGCTGAAACCATTCATATCCACAATATAATGTATCCACAAGTATATTTTACACTGTAAAAAAATGATTGTTCCCTTACTATATATGGGGAAAACTGTATACAATTTTACAGTACAATACTGTTAAAGGCACAGTTTTTGGAAGTAAAAAACTCACAATAATCTTATAATTTTCCCAGAATTCCCTTTGTGAAACTTCACATTTAATGGTTATTCATTTTAATAATAATGTTTTTTTTTCTTCTTTATGGTACATCTTATGTTGTTAAATGAATAATTCATCTGAAAGGGCTGTTGGATTTACTGTTTTTTTATTACAGTTTTAAATTGTAAAATGTACAGGTTGTTCTGAAAATACTTTTATATATTTACTGTATTTTTAAACAATTATTCTGCACAACTAAAACATGGCATAAGAGTATAAAGTTGGTATAAGTAAAGTTATTTAACATTTTCTAACTTCATTATCATAGTGATGTTTTGTCATATTCACTGTAAAAAATATTTTCAAGATTTGTTATCACACCATATTTTCTTTTGTCAAATCAACTTAATAATAATTTATTTAGTTGAGATAACTTATTATTTTGAGTTTCTGATGTTTAAATTAATCTCCTTCATTGTATTAACTCACTTTTTCCAGTTCAATCAACTTAAAATTAAGGCAACCCAGGTTACTTACTTTTTTAACTTAAACCAACAATATTTTTTTGACTGTGTAGTAATCACAACATTTTTTCTTTTGTCAAATCAACTTCATTTATTTAGTTCAGATAACATATAATTTTGAGTTTATGATGATTAAATCATTCTCCTTCATTGTATTAACTTACATTTTCCAATTCAATGAACTTAAAATTAAGGCAACCAGGTTACTTACTTTTTTAAGTTAAACCAACAATATTTTTTACAATGTTGTCTTATGATGTTTACATACTGAGTCATATCCAACATGACATATCAATCTGGGAAGGACAATGGATCACATCGTTAAACTTAAAGATGGGGTATGTGATTTTCTTTTTTGACCATTTTTTCAAAATCACTTGAAATCCTATTCCTAACCCACTTATGCCTGCATGGTTCAGAAGATTACACAATTTTTTTTGTCTGTTACGATAGTCACTGTGTCAGATTACGCGATTTTAACTCCTAAAATCTTGTCGTGTCGTGGAGAAGACACACGTCAGACTACACGTTGCTTTCTGACCAGTCATCGCATGCCGTCTTTAAAACGGCGCGTGTGATGTCAACGAGAAGGCGAAACTAGTAGCGAGTGACTTCCGGAAACAAACGTAAACAAACAATGGATGAAGCGGTGAGTGTTGTATTGGCTGTCCTGTGTTCAGAAAAAAGTTTAAAAAGAAAGAAAACCCGACAATGAACACGTTCCTGGATTGCTCGAAGAGGACAGTATACTATGGGCTGTCAATCCTCCAAAGAGAAAATATTGTCTTCTTATTTATTTTTACTTTTAATTTTAAAGTTAGCACCATCGTCTCTTTCGTTTTCGCCATTTTTGAAAGTTGTGTAAAAGCTTCTGTGCTCCTATTGTTCAAACCTCATACATGTGACGGAACCGGCGTGGACGGCCGTTAAAAAAATTAAACATGCAAGTCTTTTTGTCGAGATGTCGTGAAGCATCGCAGACACGACGTAGGTTGTCGCCCACTATGACACACTATACGAGATGATACGATCGAATCTTGCGTCCCGCCACCAGTTGTCGTTTACGAATCCCCAAGGCACCCTACGTCAAACGGATCATGCCAAAATCGGGCTAAAATCGTATAATCTGAACCAGGCATTACAGTCAGAGATAGAAGCACTGAAATGAAAAATTAAGCATTTTAATTATCTGTGGAATGGGCAGGACTCAAAAAACTCCAGCCAATCATTTCCAAGACCACTTAGAATCAATGGACAGCAAGTGCATCAATCAAACGGTCGTACTATACCCCCTCCCCCCATCCCCCTCGCCTCGTGTGTGTCCCCTTCGCCCGCATACTCAAAGCTCGTGACCCAGTCAAAGTAAGTGGAAGTTGCCCCGGTACAGAGAGATAGAGAGACTAAGTGCAATGCTTTTTGCGCGTCAGGCCCAGCGTTGGAGGAAAGCAGGTGAGTTATGCATTTTCAAAATTTGCCGGCCATTTTGAAAATCCCATACCCTACCTTTAAGCATCTTAACTTTAGCTTTGGTCGAAGTTCAGTTAACATTACTTTTTGGAAATAAATTTGTTTAAGAAACAATATCTGGCAAATCAAAGATTTTATTTAAATACAACATTGAGTCACTGTAGATGTACCTTCTGTTTTGCGAGTCAAGATGTATAAGACAACAATTGACACAACTAGTACTACGCATCCAACTGCCAGCGCTAGCCAGATCCACCAATGAATATGATTGGGGGAATCTGGCGATGACGGTGTCAGTGTCAGGGTTGTTGCCGCTAAAAGACAAAAAGAAACAAAACAAAAAAATAGCCTATTATTAGGTTAGGTCATTCTTTCAGATGTGTCACTTCCTATGGTTACAGTAATGCTAGATGCATTTTCATAAAGAATGCATTTGTGAATCTGATTGAGTTGTATTGAATCAAAAATTATTTTTATTTCCCCCAACTGCAAAACAAGTTTCCCTCAAAATCTCTCAACGCACCAGCTTATTTTTTACATTTTTTATTTACAAACTATTAGTTGCTTTGCATTCATATTTTTTGCTATAATTTTAATTACAAAACTCAAAAAATGTAATATCATATAGAACGTACCAAGTACGTAGCAAGTGGGATCCAAAAGGCTGAATGCACATTTTAAATCTTTAGATTCAAGACAAATTTAAAAATGGCCATAATGTTTAGCATATTAAATAAAACTAAAAATTGTATGACATAAAATTATTAAGAAATATTTCAGATTTAATTGTAGATAAGAAACAACCAAAAATGAAGCATTTTATCTGATCTCCGACTTCTGGACCCCACTGTCCTATGTCAATTGAATGCCTGTAATTAATTCTGTAGGAATAGTACACTTTATTTCCAACTTGCATTTGAGAACAAGTTTACTGATATTTAAGACACAACTACACTTGACCACTTGCAATTGTAGTAAACGTAGAAGCAAGAGTTAATATTCAATAAACCCATTACTTCGTGACTGAGTTCACACAGTTGACCAAAATGTACATGTTAATAGTTTACGTTTCTTAATTTAAAATGCAAAGTGTTAAATGCAAAAGGGTAAAAAAGCAAAATATTAAAGATTCTTCACCACTCGTCGTGCAAGTTGTGGGTACATCTTCTGTAGTGGGATTTTCTGTCTGATTGCCCGTCTGATTGGCATATTCCTGGCTGCTGTTGGCTTCTATAGAGAAAAGACAACAACAGCTGTTAAAACTGTGAATCTCTTGATACATTCAGCGCCAGCGTCAGAAGCAGAGGACACTGGGGACTGAGCCCCCCTAATATTGAGATCCTAGACTCACCCTTGGTGGTTAAAATGTCTTGGCGAATGCCTACGACAAAGGAAAGTGATAGAATACGATTAAATTGGATATTGGATATAAGCGGGTCAAATTGGATATTTGCCGATTGGTAGCTATATTGGTATTCACTGACTCTGTTTCCTCACAAACAATTTGAGTGAAAAGTTGAAGTGAAAAATGTACATGTATTTCTTATTAAGTCTTTGTTTTGCCCTCTTCTGCTTTAATGACAGCAGCACTCGAGCTGCATGAACTCATTACGTTTGTGTAAAACCAGATCATCATGTTCTACAGTGTGTCTGACAATCATCCAAAAAGCATCTTGTGCTTCAATGGACGAAATCTGACCATGTTGTTCACACAATCTATGTAAAAAAATGACGTATTTGATAAGTGATCTGAAATAATCCAGGAACCTGCATGAAAAATAACTTAATTTTACATTATAACATGATGAAATCTACTTACCGACCAGAACTTGTATTCCATCACTGCATTTCTTTACGAGAACAGGAATATCTATCGTAACCTCGCAGAAGTACCATCCGCTGTCATCGGTCTTGATGGAACTAATGATGAATGTTGACCAAGTGTCATTCTTTTCTGATTTATGCCACTTTTCACTTGCTCTGTCTGTTGTAGAGGTACAGTCTAAATCAGGTGTCTGGCTATAGTACAATTTCACTTTATACTTCCTAGCGGGCTGAAAAGTGCAGTTGAGTGTGACTGATTCTCCTTCACAGACTGCAATGTTCTTTGGTTCCAAATGGACATTCAGTTCCTCTTGAAGAGTGTTACTGATCAAAACTCCTGTTGTGGATAGAGAAAGAAAGGGATAACAATAACTTATTGTCTGCCGCTAAATACAAACAGTATGATTGGAACACTGACCTTATGAAATATTTATTTTTTTTTTGTTTTTTAACGTTAGTTGAGACTAGTTGTCTGACCATGCTAAGCATCTTATTAAAATGTATAATAACAAAATGGCTTGAATTACTCTATACACAACTCAGATAAGCTACTTTGGGTCAATCAACCAGTGCATTTTTTTTACACATAGTTTGCAGACACTTACGCACATTATTTAATTTATTCAAATTAATCAACACGCAATTTTAGCAGAAGATTTTAAAAAGTAGAACAGGGCTAATTGTATTTTATACACCAGTGATTATTAAACAGGGTAGGTTTATTTTTGAAAGCCAGTTTCTTAGTCAAATATGATCTTATAAGTCTCGACTGCAAAAAACAAAAAAAAAATAAAATAAATTAATTAATTAAATAAAAAATTTTAAAAAATGTAAAAAGCTATTTATTGTCCAGGAAAAAAGATATAGTTACAACTTGTTTTTGTTCCATAGTGGGGCATGCGGTCACAATGGGAATCTACTATTAAATTGCATGTTATTTAACAGCTTGTCTGCCAAATTTAAACAATAAAACTGTTATGAAGCACAAAACCGATTCATGAAATGGTAATGTAAAAGACATTTAACCATTGCCAACCAATATTGTAATAATAAACTGCATAAATTACACTGTAAAAAATAATCCTGTAAAAACGGTGGTTGCCAGCATCATACCGTAACTATACGGTGTGTTACTGTTTATGTGTTTGAGCATATAGCTGTTAAATTAAAGTTTTATACTGTAGATGACAATACGGTATTTAGCTGTTAATTTCAAAAACAGTAAGACACCGTATTTTTACGGTATGATGCTGGCAACCACAGCTGCCGGTAGTTTACAGTTTTTTTACAGGATTATTTTTACATATAAAACACAGGACACAATTTTGGTTTGAAGGACAGAATTGACCAAATTTACCAAATTATGCAAATGACGAGTTTTTTAAACTAGACTTTTCAAACACATTTGCGTAAACAGACTTTGACACGAAATCTTAGATGCTGAGATTAGGCTTTCCGTGGTCATATTTTGGTTATGAAGTGTCAAAAACTATACTTCCCACAATATTTGACCAATTCTCCATGGTAGATCAAATCAACTACACTGTAAAAAATCCAACTTACATTTTGTTTGACAAATTCTGTTTTTAAATTTTAACATCAAAACGTTTGTACAACTAATGACCCTAAGTTGAGAAAACTCAAAAATCTGCAGCTGGTTGCCTTAAACTTTTAAGTTCTCTCAACTTTTTTTTTTTTACAGTGCAGAAATTCCACTTACCAGTGACTAAAAGAAGAACGATTCCAGCGCATAGTCGATCCATGCCTAAGTTGGGCACAGAGTGGGCGTTAATAATGAACCCGTGTTAGAATAAATGCAAAAGTATTTTATAAAGGAAGAAAAAGACTAATGAAATAACCAACTTGAACAAAAACAGCACGTGGAGTCTTGAAATGCGAACGCATGAAGCTTCCTTGTACACCAGTGTTGGTGAAAGTCTGGCAGAACTAGAAGGGTTCCTGTGTGGTCATAAATAAGACTGTCTATTGATATCTTATGAAAAGCATTGTGATGTCTTCCTGTTGAAGCTTAAGACTATCTGACATTAATCAAGCCATCCATGTTTATTACAAATGGATTTAGCAAATAATCGTCCTTCAAATGCATTATATACAATGCATATAAAACGCATCAGATCTGCAACTGGAAAAATAATGGGTTTCAAAAGTATTTAAACAGTACACTTACCGCTCTAGAAGTGGGGGATAAATGTGAGAGTTACTTTGATGTAACACGTAAGAGTATAGAAGCATGAAAGCAGGTCAGACCGCATGAACAAGAAATGAGAAACAGCACCACAGAAAACACGACTGACATCAGGCGTCCCAGGAACACACCAGACACACTTCTGTTCACACGCAGAAACAGCATCGCTTAAAAGATAATGGCCTCAACATTTTCTTGAACACTGCTGGCTCTTTAAGTCACAGTTTTCAGCATTTAAGATAGAGGTTTAGCATATGCATGAGCTTATCTCAAAATTAATTTTTGAGTTTTTTTCAATGACTTTTAATCAACTGACATTTTTATTGAATATTTGAAGTTCTTTTTGGTCGAATATTTTGTGGAAAAATATTTGTGCTAAATACTTAACTTGGAAAGTGTTTATCCATAAATGACACAAATTGATATTTTTGTCTCAATATTTCTGATTCGATACGTCGAATGCAAGCCATTTTGACATTTTTAAGTGCGACTCAAGTTGCCAAATACTTTTTGGGATCCTGCTCGCTTAATGGTTTTGTTTTGACATCTCATGCATGAAGTAGCACACGACTTGCTGAGAACTGTGACACAGTTTGAATGTGGTTTCAATATTAAACCTAAAAGCAAGACTAAACCACTATTTAAAGTCAAGCTGAAACAGAAAGATCAAACATTGTTCACGTTTGTACTGCATTATCTATCACAAAGAATGCAAGGACAGACAAATTTATCTCCTTTAGTAAAAAAAAAAAAACATATTGCAAGCATCATTATGCATTACATACTGTAAAAGCAGACTCGAATATAGTTTTCATTCAACAGATTAACATGGTCAAAAAAAACCTGTCATTTCTTTATTGTGTCATCACCTCTTTTCTCACAGTATCTGAAATTGTTTGATTAAAGACTTAAGCCTCATTTCCGTGAGCCTGCTCTGCTCTGATTGGTCAGATGGCTCAGTCTGTTGTGATTGGTTAAACTGTGTGAGAAACTAAATGGCCCTTACCATATCTGACTTTCAGCTCTAGATCTTCCTCAGCACTTCATACTCAGTGATACGAACAGTAACAATGGTGTTGGATTTACCATATCAGAACGAGAGTCCTCATCCTTTGGAAGTGCATGATCTGCTTTCGCAGCGCAGAAAATGTCGGCAACATGAAATAAACTTTTTCCAGGTCTCAGCTACAACTACATTGTTTGAGAGCGATTACAAAGATATGTTGTTCAATGCCAGCCAATGAGGACCAAGTGTCATTCTTTTCTGATTTATGCCACTTTTCACTTGCTCTGTCTGTTGTAGAGGTAATGTCTAAATCAGGTGTCAGGCTATAGTACAATTTCACTTTATACTTCCCAGCGGGCTGAAAAGTGCAGTTGACTGTGACTGATTCTCCTTCACAGACCGTAATGTTCTTTGGTTCCAAATGGACATTCAGTTCCTCTTGAAGAGTGTTACTGATCAAAACTCCTGTTGTGGATTGAGAAAGAAAAGGATAACAATAATTTACAATCAAAAAAACAATATTGCACAAACAATAATAACAATAAAGTACAAACAATAGATATATGATTGGAATATTGTTGATCTTGAGCTTGTTGTGAACATCCTGTTGGTGCACATGTGTCATATTTGGGTAATTTTCCAAAATATTTCATTTTCTGCAAAAGATTATGTCAAACTATTTTCTCAACAAAACCCATTTTAAAATAGCACAAATCTCACTTACCCATAACGAAATGAAGAAAGATTGTACAGCAAAACCGATCCATGTTTATGGGAACAGGATTCACAATAATAATTCGGCCTGAGACTAAATAAAATTCAAACGAAGATAAAGATTAGGTTAAACGATTAATTCAACTTTATCAAACTGCACACAAAAACAGCACTTGGAGTCTTTAAATAAGAACACCTGACGCTTTCTCATGGTGGTTAAACCTCTTAATCTGGCAAAGATACGAAATGTGTTCCTGTGTGGTCATGTGAGTACAGTAAGTGTTTAATAGCATCTGATGCCGTCTTCCTGTAGAAAAGGTCTACTGAAAATTGTATAGTACTTAAGTAATTGTTTATGCTAATAATTCTAGCTCAAATACTTTAGTTTAGAGGAAAGAAGACTCACTAGATTCAAATCTCTTTTACGAGTGTTCTGGCCAAGATAAGCAGCTGAGTAGACAGCAGACAGTTTTTACATCAAAGTTACGACGCACATAAACATTAAAAACAGAAACACCATTACATAGACATGAACGTTGAAAACATAAAAAAAAAAAACATTAAATTACTCTGCAGAGGCCTATGTGGAACATTATCTGAATTGAGATAGAGAACCGAATGAACTAAGTTCTGTGATAGTGTGTGTTACGGTTACAAGTAATAACAAGAAAAGAAATAAAATGAAAATGGACGCACTGAATTCTTTAAATATCAAACAAAAGAAAAGCAGATAAGTGATAAGTCCGTGGAAAAACACTGCTTATTCGCCTCTGTCAGCAGCCGTGCGCTCCATTCACTGAACAGGGGGGACGCAGCTTGAGAGAGTGACGACAGAGAAAGCAAGACCTTGCGCTCGCAGGACTGTAGGCCTACTGGCAAAATTATTTTGTAGGTTATTGAGGTTTGTCCAAAAAGTCGCTAAAATTGCCGCTAGTCACTTTTTGAAAAAAAAAAAAAAAATGTCGCTAAATGGGTCTGAAAAGTCGCTAAAAATAGCGACAAAGGCGCTAAATTGGCACTGGTCACTTCTGTTTGCGTTTGAAGCGAGAACCCAAACAAACCAAGTTAGCTCGCCCCTCCCTCCCGTTTCGTGCATCATGAAAAAAAATGATCATGCACGCGCATTTCTTAAAGCGACAAAAACTTTAAGATTAGGCTATATCAAAAGGAGATTGTAAAAAAGCCAGATTTCTGCTTAGAGGAAGCTAAACAATGTATAATCGTATCATCTGCATAAAAATTAAATGTATTAAAAATATTAAAATACAGATAATTTACGTATGCTGAATAATAGCGGCCCTAGCACAGATCCCTGTGGGACTCCCTTAACAACCTCCAATGGATCTGACTGAATACCTTCCACCTAAACACATTGGGTTCTTCGCTTTAAATAAGAACTGAACCATAAGATAACAATTCTGATAGCCCTACTGATCGAAGCCTTGTTAACCCTCCTCTTATCCTTGGGGTCAATTTGACCCCATTCAATGTTTAACGTCTGTAAAAACATAATTTTTTTTTTTTTTTGCTTCAAATTTAATGACTTTTCCTAATTTAATGGGGACAACTCTGTAAACATAAAATTAACCTGCTAATATTTTTTTCAAAGTCCTGTACAAATTTTGTAGCATCGGTGTTCCTTGGGGTCAATTTGACCCCAGGCTCTTTTAGTTGTATAATAAAACAGAAGAAATATTAAAATTTCACACACATTTGTTTTGGTTGTTATATTGAGGTCATTATAACATGTTATAATTTGAATTTATAATGTTTATTGTAATTTTACATATTCAATATCATTTTCAAAAAACGTCCCTCTGTTTTAGGGCTCTAACCAAACATAACCATATCTGTAATATTGCGAGAACTACTAGTAGATGTCAACTTAAAACATTACTTAAGTAATCAACAAAGACATAAATTAACTGAGACAAACCTTTGTAAAAAAAAAAATAAACATATTGTGGAGGTTTAAATTACTGGGGTCAAATTGACCCCAGAGGGTAAAAAGTGTTATCAGATTTGAGGATAACAGGAGGGTTAATAACATATCATGATCCACAGTGTCGAAAGCCTTTAGTCAATAAAAAGACATGCACACTGTTTCTTGTCATCTAAGGACTTCACTTTTCACTTCACAATGGCTGTAGACGTACTGTCCCTTTACAGAATCCGGATTGGTTAATAGACAAAATATTATGACTATTAAAGGTGCCACATGGCACATAAAATCAAATCATATTCCATAACAGATGGGGGCAGTATACCTCTAGAAAGTGAGTTGTGCAGCAGCCAGGCGCACTCTCACGTCTTCAAACAACACAAGCGAGCGCTTGTTTTGCTCTCTCTTTCTCGCGCATTTTATTCAAATCATTTGACACGATAGTAAAAGGTTGGAAGAGCGCAGTTTCACATGGAGCATTTGGAGATTTGTAGAGATCAGAGACTCAATGAAAAACATCTCAACACTAAATGATAAAGACCGTCTCATAGACGCCTGTCTCAAATACAAGCTGGTGCATTTCGACGATATGGGGGAAAAAAAGCCTTGGCTATTATTTTAAGTTTACGGTTTTCGTTTTGTTCATATTATACCTTTATTGTTAGTTTGAATTAATTTGACAGACAGCATTCGCTGATGTTGATCAAGCTAGCGCCATTCAGAGCTGCCAACTCTCACAAATTCAGACACACGCAATTGACACTTAGCAAGCAGGTTAGTTAAACTCTCAGATTCTGTCAATTTTATTACGCAATTCAAACAATAAATATCGTTTTGGCGCTTGTACATGTTACACCACAGAACCCTAGCGCACGTGAACCGATCATCTAATGGAAAAAGAACATGAACACTGTTGAAAGATACAGTATGCTACAACTTACCAAAATGTATTCCTCATGCATAATATCGACCAATCATTTTTTGAACTCTTCCCTGAACTGAAATGTAGTAGTGGGCTGCATTTTCAAACGACTGACATCAGGTTCAAGTACACACAAGCCGCGCGAGTTACTCGCATACCGCCTCCCATGGCCGAAACTGGTATTACGACACCTGAAGGCCGGGGCTAGTAATTTAGCATGCTAATTTAGGTTTATATCTCGGCAGCACTATAACTTGTCAGTTATTTAATGACATCATTGTACTTATTTCTTCTATTTCTTTTAAAGCGTGTAGCTCATTTTTTTTGGATATATTACATATGGCACCTTTAAATATGTCAATTGCTCACCAACTAATTTTTCCAAGAGTTTTGAGATAATACTTAGCCCTTTCTTAAAGTATGTGAAAAGATTAAAGCTAAAGGCAAAAACACTGTTTTAAAGTCAAACCGCACGTCAAACGTTTTTTCTTTCCAGATCATATCATTTGTCTGTGTTTGTACTGTATAATGTGTATGAAATACAGTGTATGCAAGTCAAAGACACAAATAACTATAATTCAGTCTTTAATTTAAAATACATATCGCAAACATCATTGTGCAATACATAAAAGCAGTCTTAAATATTCATGAAATTAAATATCAGTGAGAAAAAGTGACCATCGGTCAATGAATTTGAAAGGAAAGGACAATTAATATGCCACGTTTAAGTTCAAATTCCCTGAAACAGGAACAAATAACATCTTTTATTAAAAAGGTTCCTAATATAAAAATGCTGACGCTTGCTATCATAGCCATCTATGATCTAACTAAATCATAGCTCGAGTCAGTTCATTTGTAAACAGTATAAATAACATTGTGGTGTCACAATGTGAAAAATCACAGTGCACTATTAAAAAACTGACAGCTACTGTATGTTAACATCACAGAAGAGTGTACAGTAAGTAAATAACTGTGCAAATCCTTATTTTTCATAGTCTGTTTCATTAGGTAACAGATTATTTCTAGTTAAATGATCTTGAATATAAAATTAATCTAAAACAGCTATTAATGTACGCATGCTGTTGTACAGTGTCAATTCTCTCCTTGGTGGGATGAATGATGAATTTCTTTCAATAAAATGAAAGTCAAACCATAGTTTCCTTTATAGAAATGAAATGTTCCCTGTATCTTTTAAATTCAACATAAAAAGGTATTCATAAACCCATTTTACTTCTGTAATATAATTATGTATTTCAGAAAGAAGAAGAAAAAACGAAGAAAAACATTAGATCGTGAAAAGTGTGTTGGAATATCCTGCAACGAGTAGTTTTTGATTTCATGTTAACTAGAAAGTTATTAAATAGGTTTTATATGCACACATAATAATAAAATTCTCACAAACAGTCAGAAACAAAATATCACAGTAAAAAAATAAAATCATTCTGATCATTAAATAAATAGGTATTGACATGAACCCTGTGCTTTCTCTTCCATTGGCTGATGGACTATAACTCATCTTTTGGGTTTATGTGCAGGCCGTGATCCCACATGTGCTCATTATCCAGGGTTTGAACCACCTCATCTGCTTGAAGCCTCTCCTGCAATTTGATTTTAAAACAGATAATATTTTAGCATATCATACATTTCTTAAGCATTTTAATGTTAGTGTCAAATATTTATTCTCCTTTTATTTTCTGTATTTTTTATTTTATTATTAAAATAAAGCCAGTATGAACTCTGCACCTCGCTCTTTTCACCATCCCCACACCGGACAGTTGGGTTAAAAAAAGAAAAGAAAAGAGCTTCCCCGCTTTGAAAGACTAGCAGCCGCCACTGATATGGCCATATAAATGCATGGCTTCAAATCTGAAGTGACGCGTGTCATTAAAAAATGATTCTACACTGAAATCTGCCACACATCTGGGACCTAGTTAAATAAATTTGAACGGCTCTTTCTGAATGCTTGGTTTCTGCAGAACTTATTACTTCCTTATCACCTCACCACTGATGTTCAACCATGGTTTATTTTTAAAAAAAATTTTTAGGTTTTAAACATCAGAAGTTTTTTTTATAAATGGTAAAATGCCCAGTTTTATTTTTTAAAAATCCAGAAAAATTTCAATTTCTTGTAATATGACCCCTATAAAATTGTATCAGTCGCATGACGTACAATTCAGTTATCTATTCGGTTAAATTGGTCAGGGTTCACTGAAACACTCCAGGCCAAAGGGCTTAGAAACGTGTGTATATGAACACAATGGGCATAATGTTTCTGTATTGTGAGAACAGGAAGTGGTTTGGTGGCTTGACTACACTCACAGGTGGCTTTAACACTTCTGTGTATCGGTGGGCAACTGTGGCTCAGGACTGTTGGAAAATTCCACTTAATTTACAACTACATAAAGATTTAGTGACCTGAACAACAACATGCAACCATGTTCATGTTCATGTTCATATCGTAAGGATTATTAAAATCAAACTTTAACAGTAAATGTATTCTCTATCACAAACAATCACGTTTTCTCACCAGCTCCCTGTAGAGGGGGTCTAAAGTGAACCATAGTGCCACGGCACATCTCTGCCCCCTAGTGACCGCCCGCACACCGTGTGGATTCTCCCCGCCAGATGAGAACCCGACCATCCGCCCACATCGGGGCTTCACTGACGCCTGTGACAGGAAACAGAGCTTTTAAACGCTAAACTACCTGAGGTGACAGATGACAGTAACAGTTATTTTTCCTTACTGTGACAGTTTTGGCGTCCATTTCTGTAAAGATGAATTCTCCACCATCAAAATCACCGTTCAGATACAGCAGGGCACTGAAGGGTGGAAAAAACAAGGAAAAGATAATTACTATTTTATCTATCTTATTTTTTAATGTGGAAGTAGGCATTTTTCTGTGAATGTGCATTACCTGCTAGGTAAGTAACTAGAATAATAACAAAAAGTGAAGTAAACTGTAAAACTATTTGCATTAATAAACCAGTGTTGATGATTATGATCATAAATTAAAATAATATAAGAAATACCAGTTTTCAAAATTAAGCAGCGTAACGGGCCGTTTTTGTACAGCTAAAATAACAAGAAGCGAATGAAACCGGAAGCCAGACACATTCAGGTTACAGTTGGCCACGCTTGTTCTTATGTTAAAATTACTACAAATTACAATCAAGTCACAGTCAGCTTGTGGTACAACTACATGTATTTGGAGGCGTTTAAAGCGTTTTTAACACCTGATTTTTTTCTTACCTGTAGTCTCGGAAGGTGTACGCGGGCGGCTCTTTCCAACACTCATTCGCTTCTGGGTCCAGAAGACAGTTGTCAGCATGTATTGGATGACTGAGGTCGTTTCTATAGTCCTGTTGACCTATTAAATTGCAAATTAATAAAACAATTGTGTATATATATATATATATATATATATATATATATATATATATATGGGCTGTCAAACGATTAATCGCGATTAATCGCATCCAAAATAAAAGTTTGTGTTACATAATATATGTGGGTGCACTGTGTATAATTATTTTATATATATATAAATACACACATGCTTGTATATATTTAAGAAATATTTGACCTATTAAATTGCAAATGAATAAATAAATAAAACAATTGTGTATATTGATAATTGTGTGTATATATATATATATATATATATATATATATATATATATAGTAGGGCTGTCAAACGATTAATCGCGATTAATCGCATCCAAAATAAAAGTTTGTGTTTACATAATATATGTGGGTGCACTGTGTATAATTATTTTATATATATATATATAAATATACACACATGTTAGTATATATTTAAGAAATATTTTCATGTATATACTGTATATAGAATTATATATAATTTATATATATAAATATAAATATTTTAAATATATATATATATATATATATATACACAATACATTTTTCTTAAATATATATGCATGTGTGTGTATTTATATATATACAAAATAATTATACACAGTGCACCCACATATATTATGTAAACACAAACTTTTATTTTGGATGCGATTAATCACGATTAATCGTTTGACAGCCCTAATATATAGTAATAAATAAAAATAAAGATATAAAAATAAAGAATAAGATATATAACAAATAATCTATTCTATATAAAGTAAACAAATATTATTAATCAATTTATATAAATAAATATTACATTCTGTATTACATATAGTACAAAAATAATATAATACACACTCATATAAATATTAAATTCAGTATATGAGTATAAATATAATGTGTAGTATACTCTTACACAAGTGATCAAACTGTGGTGTAATCTGAGGTAGAAACTGAGAGCGGAGGTGACGTACCAGATATGGCGGTTCTACACACCAGATGTGTGTATGAGAAATGCAGAGTGGAGTTTAGCATGAAGTATGACTCAATTATCCGCCTGGCCTTCTCGCTGACATCATAAAAGAGGCGGGCACTTTTTAAAAGAACACGTCCCTCATAGCCATACTGAAAAGTTAAATAGTGAATAATTAATTATCGTTACACTCAGGACTGTTTTAATTATTCATGCCTGTCCAATCAAAACATACACAAGATTAAAGTCGACATGAAATCAAACGTATTTTTATGGAATATTCCAGTATTTATTATAAATGATTTATCAACCAGTCACTCACATGAGATCGCCCAATAGCTAACCACAACCATACAAACGTTTCCTGATAAACAAAATCAAGTCCCGCCCTACATTTATTCTTGTTTGAGAAGCCATTTCAGCAATCAAGCTAAAATGTGGCACGCTATTTATAAACACAAATATCCGTATATGTTAAAAACTAAGGAAGGTCTTACCTTCAATGTTTTCAGTACTGTCGCCCCTTCAAATTTCTCATTGGGTGTGTGAGGAGACATTTTCCCCTTGTAACCGTCACCAGCCGCAGTGACACTCTGCCAAATAAAATATTATCAACTACAATTACAGCATTTCATTGTAAAGTCATATGACATAAAATACTACTATAAAGAAGTACAGTAATATATGGAGCATGCTTATTAGGTCAAACCAGCACCAAGAGTGGAAATACACTCACGTGCGCCAGGTGTTTGAGCTCGGAGCACTGGTCCTCACTGATGACATCATCAAGAAGCACCCTTTGACTTCCATTCAAGGTGTGGGAGTTTTGTACAAGTCTTACATTCTCATACAGCAATGGACCTCCTATACACAGATGAACACACGGTTACTTTTAATAACCAATAAAAATGGTAAAACATCTTAAAAGAGTAACGGTAAGGTGCTGAACCAGTGCGTCAATTGGTTCATTGAAAACAATCAACTTTTCATCATTTATTTGTTTATGCGTTGAGATATTGTGTGGAAAAGAGCATAATGAAGCAAATTAAAGTCATTTTGGATGAAATGCTTACTTAATTAAAGACTATTTTGGTCCCTTTTTGCATTTTTTCCAAGTTATGTATATGGTGAGCAGCTTTATCTCGCCTGTTACAATATTTTAGGTCCAGCTCATTTAAAATCTGTAAACATCACCTTCCCGCAGCTCTTGTAACAAAGCCATTGTGACATTTCTCTTTGCTGATATCGGCACATAGTCCATCCAGCCATCGGTACCAGAAGGAATCCTAAAGACACAAGATATACGCTTATGAGCAGGATGATTCTCATTATGATTTATTAGATCAGTAAGAAGAACCCCTACCTGTTAGCATCTTCTCTACCGCCTGAACTGCTCCAGTAGCTCTGAAGAGAAACATCAAAAGCGTCCATTAAACACCTTCTAATTCTAAAGAGCTATGGCTTCATGACGACAGATGGGCTTATTCGATGATCCCACCACAAGGGGGCGATGTAGGTTGGTTTTTAATCTCAAATCTTAAGGGTGCACCTGTTCCCTCTAACAGCTGTTACATGATTGGAACATGTCCTTGTTCACTCTTATAGTCTATTCCCTATGTGCAGTTGCGCACATGGCATATTTGAACTATTTTATGATATGTTTTCAAACAGGCATCCCGTTCTTTGATTGGTTGGACAAACAGATAGTCCCAAAGTTGCTATGTGAGGCTGATTGGGACGATAAAGCAAACAGCATTGTTTTGAAAAAAGTGAAACGATAATGCTATTCATTTAAAGTGCATTTTAATATTGGTTAAATCGGAAAATCATGGTTTAAAGCTGTTAAAACACTCCAATAGTAAACTTGACTGACTGCAAAAAGGCTTTACTTGCATTATAAGTGAGCCTCAATGAACATGTTACTAAAATGAATACAAAAAATCCATGTAATGACCGCTTTAAGATTATAAACATAATTTGAGAAAAACAAATACATTTGGCTGTAGTATTTTTGTAGTTGGTATATACTCTTCAGTGTACAAAGCCACAATCTTTAGCCTACACTTTTTATAGAGAAATCAACCTACAAATGGCTTGCTTATACATGTCTGCATATTAAACTGGCATAGAAGAAAATAATTTCAAGGAGAACTCTGGCGCAAAATGAACATTTGGTCTAATAACACATCGGTACCTAGTCAACCGTTCTCTGAGATTTGTTTTCATGATCGAATGTAAATAGTTTTATCTAAAAACCGTTTAGCGTATAATGCTAGTAATGGGGGCATGTACTAAGTAAAAAGAAATCGCTAGTTTATACCACTAACAAGGTTCAAAATAGCCCCACACTAACACAGTGATATGATGAGAGTTCCTACATGCAAAACGAAGCATTGAGAACTTTGTAAGTGTACAGACCGTTTGATAAGATGATACTTTATAAAGACAGTTCACTTCGTGTATACAGACAGCAGCCATTTTAGAAAATAGTCTCAATAAGTCGATCCCCGAATGCCGTTCATCCAGTTCTGAAGTTCGCTGAACTTTATACAGTTCAGCTCACTCAGCATGACGTTCGTGGTTCGACTTATCGAGTCTGTTTTCCAAAGATGGCTCCTGTCTGTATACATATAGCGATTTCTTTTTACTTAGTACATGCCCCCATTACTAGCACTATACGCTAAACAGTTTTTTAGAGATAAAACTCTTTACATTCGATTGTCATGAAAACAAATCTCAGAGAACGCTTGACTAGGTACCGATGTTTTATTAGTCCAAAGGTTCATTTTGCGCCGGAGTTCTCCTTTAAGAAACCATTTCTGGCTCGTTCTGTGAACTTACCCCTTCAGTATAGGCCACTCCAATGTTATTGCTGCCCATGAGGAGCAGGTCTGACTCCTGTTCGTGCCGCCTTACGTACTGTTCAGCTTCCTGTGGCAGAAAAAGCATAATCAATGCTGATTGCATTTCCTACACGGGGGAGCTTAAAGATTACGGCCCTCAAGAATCCTGTTTGCGACCAGACAAATTAAAAAGTCAATGGGGGATGTACGGTTTGAAATCGAGCCCATTCCACAATCTTGGCATTCTCCGGGACTTTTTATTAGCCGTTACTGGCACTCGTTTAAAGCAGCTTGATATAACTAGAGCAGCATAGTCTGCTGCTTCTAAGTGTGGTTGAGACCACATGAAATGGGAGCCTTGGTGCCCTTTTGGGGGAAGAGTTACATTGGTAGCATTTGCGACTTTGTGTTTCAGGGAGCTCTGCGGTGTTTCGGTGAAACTTTTCTACCCTGTACGAAAAGATGCTGTCAGCACAGTATATCGGCGGTGGGTTAACAAGGTCCCAGAGGGACTAGAATTTGGGTAATCAGACATGGCAGCAAGCCAGAGAGATGGAAACACTCTGGAAAATAATGTACTCGATTGTTATGAGCTATGAACTAAAGGATCTTGCATTGAAAGACACATTCAAGCCCTTTGGCTCTGGACTTAAACTTATGTGCCTTTTACAGTGCTAATAGCTTTTTCCGAGGAAAAAACATTTTGGACGGTTCAAGAGTTTGTGCAGCCACTACTGAAAAGTACATCTCGAACACCAAACTCACTTAAGGGACATGATTGTTCCAGTGTGTTTATGCGCGTATGGAGTCCTGCCAATGTCTGCAGTCTGCCTTTGGTGAACGAGTTTGCTCAAGTGCTTTCATTATAAGATGATCTGGATCTTGAAATGCTGCAAATGGCGATTCAAGAAGTATTACTGTTATGAACTCGAACTTGCTCCATGGGGGCTGTTGCTAGTGTACTGTATTTATAGGGTAGGTTAGACAAGCTAAACTAAAGGGAAGAAATTGTCAATTCAATTTTTTATCTAAGGAGACCCATAGACGGCAATAAAAGTAAAGTTATTGGTCAGTAAACAGTAGATCGATTGCCTTTAAGTATTGTAACAGCCAATGTCAAATGGTATCGATTCAGATATCGAAAAAGTGTCTCGTTCCGGGACTTCGAAGTCTTTGTATTCATTTGGTTTTTAAAAATATTAAAGGAAAGTTTGAATTTAAAGTTGTGAGTTTAAGGGACAATTGTTAAAGCCTTACTTTCCAGTTATCCTAAACTACTTATGTGCCTTTTACATCCTCTGTGACATAATTTCCTGTGTTGTCTCACCTTACGAGGCTGACCATCATGTCCCAGCACCTCCCTGTAATACTCCACATTCTCAGTCATGAACTCTTCGCCTTTGTGGAATAACAGGTAAGTCAAAGCGCACTCCAGAGCCTCCTCAGTCCTCTCAGCTGAACACACAGAAAACAGAAACAGTTATTAAGTGTTAATGAAGCCACCAGGGCTCTGTTTCTTGGCTCATCTGGGAGATTATTCATCCTGCGATTCTTTTTCCCACAGTCACGTTTATTTCCCCTTTGCAGACCTACGCGCTCGGAAACATTCGCATTCCAGGCCAGTGACCACAATGGAACAAACTCCACAGAGCTGAGCGAGTGGAAACACGGCTTTCAGACACGCAACAGAGACATTTGTACACACACCTGCATAACGTACCGTTTTATGAACAATAAGTGTCTATTTCTCATATCAGAGCTCTTTTTCTTAAGGTAGGAGTGAAAAGTTCAGATTTGACGTTTCCAAGAAGAAATCAATCAAGACTGAAGTATTTATTAGACTCTCCTTCTCCTTTAGAGTAAGTGATTTCATGATTTATGAGGTTTTGTCAATTCAAAATTATTTTCAAGGTGCTTTAAGTTGATTATAATTACCATTGCCATTTTTCTTTCCAATACAGACTATTTGTACAATTTGACTGCTGGAAGTCAATAGTATTGTTGCCAACATCTTCAATCATGAGTACAATGTCCAAGAAGAGAATCGAGTGTCAGGTACACATTTAGAATCATTCAAGCCAGTTTTGACATACTGTATATGTGTGTTTACCTTGGAAATAAGCAAACTGCAGGTAGTCGTAATGCAATGGCAGGTAGTTTTCCATGGGCGATAGGCGACCGGGGCGGGTGGCCAAATCTCGGACACACTCGTGCTCGCAATAAAGAACCTGGGTGTAATGATCTGGAAGACAAAGTACAACATGATTTAAAATTGGGGCCACTATTCAGTTTATATTCTCAGTTTCAACACATAAAGATGCTGAATTTGAACTATATACTATTTCTTGTGGAAAAACAGAAACAGGGCATTGCGGCGGGATTTAATGGCTTAACACACTGTAATCGTGATTGATGTGGTTGAGGATGTGATCTTCTCCCATAGTTTATGGAGTGAGATAATTTAACTGGGATCATATTGTCTTTCATGTGGAAAAGGTTAAAGATTAAATTAAAGAGCTGAGAAGACTTTAAACACATTTTAAAGGATGAGTTGGTCTTTCATGATAGGGTAGTAGACAGATTGTTCCCATATGAAAGTGGGAACAGATTCACAAATTAAAAAGATGAGTAAGAGCATCCATCAAAAACAGGTTTAGTTCACTTAAAAAAAAAAACTTTTGCTAACAATTTACTCACCCCCATGTCATCCAAGATGTCCATGTCATTCTTTCTTCAGTCGAAAAGAAATTAAGGTTTTTGATGAAAACATTCCAGGATTTTCTCCATATAATGCACTTCACTGGGAATCAAACGGTTCAAGGTCCAAATGAGAGTTTCAGTGCAAACCGTTCAAAGGGCTTTAAACGATTCCAGACGATGAATAAGGGTCTTATCAAGCGAAATGATCGCTCATTTAAAAAAAAAAAAAGTTTAAGTTTTATAAGCTCAAATGGTCGCCTTGCTCTGTTCTGTAATGACGTAAAACGTGACTCTCCTGTTCGACTTCGAACTTGTTCATCAAAATGAACGAATCCTTTCCAGAGTCAACTCGTTCATTTCGTATTTCCCATTTGGTTTGAATGAACCAAATGACACGAAAAAAAGATTCATTTTGATGAACGAGTTCGAACAGGAGAGTCACGAACGCACATCACAGAACAGACCAAGGCGACCATTTGAGCTTATAAAACTTAAACTTTGTTATTTTTTTTTAAATGAGCGATCATTTCGCTTGATAAGACGCTTATTCATCGTCTGAAATCATTTAAAACTCTTTGAACAGTTTGAAGTTTGCACTGAAACTGTCTTTTGGACCTTAAACCGTTTGGTTTCCATTGAAGTCCATTATATGGAGAAAATTCTGGAATGTTTTCATCAAAAACCTTAATTTCTTTTCAACTGAAGAAAAAAATGACATGGATATCTTGGATGACATGGGGGTGAGTAATTTATCAGCAAAAGTTTTTTTTAAAAGTGAACTACTCCTTTAACACGCATATTACTGTTTGGAAGGAGAGGCTTTTTGTCAGTCTATTCATGTATGCACAAAGGCATGTAACTAGTGCCTGGCTTCTTTTGTAAATTTAACAATGATAACCTAAAAACATGAAAATCACTAAGAAGCCCAGCCCATCTGCTTTAAAAGACATTTCTTTTAATTAATATGGTAGATAATGAGTCCTTAGTTGTAGCCAAGTGGCCCAATCCCAGAATCCCTAAACAGTGACCTCAGGCTAACAAAAAACATACATACATGCACATGCTCTCAAATGGACATCATCACATGCCCAATAAATCAGCAAACCAACAGAAAATGTCAGTGACATCATTCTGAAGATTCTTGCTGAACTCTGAGACATGCCATCATGCACAAAACCCCCTAAAGCTAACGTCAGAAACACTGACAAATCCTGTGAAGAACAAGTCCTCTCACGACTGGCCAATTCTTCAATCTTCCTCAAAATGTTTTCCACATTTAGGCCATAAATCCACGTCAATCATGCTGCAGTTTTTCACATCCTCCCTTAATCAACAGAATGCCATCAGCAATAATCAAGATCTGTTATGGTGTTGTTTCATAAGCCAAATAAAGGGGCTGTTGGTGAATTATGACTCCCGGTTTGACTTTTATGGACACTGTGTCTTTCACATGATTAAAAGATGTCCATTAGTTATATTGGTGCCCTTCACATTAATATTGCAGCAATTTTACTGAAATTAAAGAGTTACAAGTTAAACTGAAAGCAGCTAGAATGGTGAGTTGAATTCTGTCAATAACTGGGTATATGAATATAATAAAAGAACATATATATGATAAATGTTTTATAATAACATTTAAATATTTTAAAATGTAATTTATTCCTGTGATCAAAGCTGAATTTTCAGCATTATTACTCCAGTCTTCAGTGTCACATGACCCTTCAGAAATCAGTCTAATGTGAAGATTTGATGCTCAAGAAACATTTATGATTAATGTCAATGCTAAAAAAAACACTGATAAACTAAACAGTACATTAAACTACAAAACATCAATCACTTAAATCTCAGTCGGACTGCTGAATCAAAACAGTGGTCTGGTTTTGAGAAAGAATGCAATGCAGACAAAACATGGCTTGTGTTTTGCATGTTTATCAAACATAAGCCCGTTTTCCCAGGGTAACTTCAAGAGCTAAAGTTCAAATGAGCTGGTTCAGTATTGATAAATTAAATTTAAAAAAAGAAAATCAAACACAGGATTCATCTTTGATCCAAAGAAGCTTTCATGTTGCAAGATTTATGTGGAAAACATTGTATAAGGCAACTCTATGTCACACTTTAAAGCGCCTCATTGTTGTACTATCATGAACTGCCTGTCAGACACAACAATAACAGATTGTACTGCAGAAAAAAGGGCACTAGCCTACAAAGAAACGACTTACACAGAGGTCAGAGAACGGGAAGATCTCCATTTCTGGAAACACAAATAGCTCTGAATACATGATATCCACAATGGAAAGTCCCACAGAACCACTTGAAAACGGAAAATTCCCAGACCCTTCTCAAGACCGCAGATGATAGCTTTACCACATTAAGAGGAAACAGAAAAGCTTTGAGTACAAAAGCATCTGTACCTGAGATTAGTTCATAGAGGTTGTATTTGTACAAGACATGATTCTGCTCCTCAAAGTGCAGCGGCCCTTCACAGAGAACGCGACACTCCTCATCTGCACGATAATACTCAGTCAGAGCCTCTTCAAAGAGCGTCACAGACTCTTCGTAGTTGCCTTTGTCGTACAGCTTCACCCCAGCAAAAAAGGCTCTCTGTAAACACAAAGATGCACTTCATGATACCGAACTTAGTGTTTCAGGCCTTAAGGTGTTTTTGCCGTTTCAAGAAACATCAAGCAGTGGCGTAATTGGTAACCATCATTTTGGCAACCGAAAAAAATTTAGTGAACAATTTTTAGTTTCAATTTAAAAACATTTGGAAGGTTGATTTGACGTTTTTTAATCAATCATCAATTATTTGGAAATATTTTGGTCCGAAATATTTTGGTCTATGCTGTGCACAGTTGATGTGTGAGAAAAACTTCGCTAAACTTTATTGTAGCCTGCCAGCCATCCAATAATCGTTTATTGTTAATTTTGATATGAAAAAGTCTCTGCTTTTATTTTCTGTCAATTCAAACAGTATCGCTGTAGCTGCTTGCACACAAGTTAAAGCATGACATGAATGAACATCAGAAGGTATGTTGGAAGATATGAAACAACGTACTGAAATGTATCATGTCTCACGTAATCAAGACGTCAGTAAATCAGCTAGTAAACAATGTCACGTAATGTTACATTTAAATCAAGAAAGCCATTCAACGCCAATAGCTCTAGAGAGGAGCATTTTGATAAATACATGCACTTTATTTGTATTAGACCCACCATTTAAATTTTTATATTTAAATAACAGGTTAATATATTAATAAAAAAAAGTTGAGCAATGAAATAACATTTCATTTTGCTTTCGTATTTTGGGTAAAAGAAAATTTCGGTAAAAAAATTAATTTCGGTGCATCACTAGTAACTGGTGTCGACAGTCACTCACCTGATGTGGGCGGGATTCCCGGTCAATGAAGTGTTCCTCTTTTACTCCCTTCTGGGCTTTGTACTGCTCCAGATGCTCGCCCATCTCCACATGCTCAGGGTTGGCCTGGAAATACGTATGAGCAGCAGACGCAGCTTTGTCCAGTTGCCCAAGCTGTTTCAAACAAAGAAACGTTTTTTAAAAAATGGAAAATGAAACTCTGGAGGCCCTTTCTTGTCACAATTTTGAAATGTACTATTCAAATAGTGAGAAATTACACTGCCAATATGTCAAATAAAGTTGTAATTGCGAGATCATGTACCAAATGCAATGACATGTAAGAAATGACCACATAATGTTCATAATAAATGAAACAAATATGTGTATCACAACTACTGTAGGTATACAACAAATCATTATAAGAGTTAATATAAACCCTGTTAAACAACATAGAACAACATGGTATAACCAATTTGGACAAGCATAAAAAATAATTCTGGTCTGAACTGGTCCTTTCAGAAGTCATGCTCATCTTGGCCTCTGAAAGGGATTACGAATTTAAATAAATAAACCGGGGACTTTTTGATCAATAATTCCAATGAATTATGCTATATTACAGGAAGAAAAATATGTTTCAGCTTATGTTTCAGCTTTTATGAACTGCAGACCTCAAATCTGTTCGGCATATCTTGGATTGTCTTGAAAAAAATCTGTTTTAAGTTTAAACTTAATGACTCATTACAAAACAATGACAAAGTTGATGATTTCACAGAAGAAGAAGAAACAACAACAACAGTATTGTGTGGATCTTCTGGAGTGTACAAATCACAAAATACACCAGAAGGCAATCAACCTCAAGACACTTTTAGGCTCAAACTGATCTTGGTTTCACTTTTTGCATATCAAAGCATTGCATATCTTTCAACAAATCATTCTCAAACAAGTTGCATGGACCATTATAGGATCTTTTTTGTTGTTTATTCTTTAGAAAGCATCCTTTGGTTACTATTTGCTATTGTTCTGTGTAAAATAGCAGCTTAGACATTTCTCAATATCCTTTTTGTGTTCCACAGAAGAAAGTAAGTCAGACAAGTGTGCAACGAAATGAGACGGTGATGACAGAATTTTAATTTGTGTGAACTTTGAGAGACCATGGTGTGATCGCATTTACCATTTCGTGAATCGAATCGAATCTCGAATTTTCAGTCATTTCAATATAAATACACCCAATCCTAACCTAGCAATTTGAAAGCTTCTTCATTTGAAAGTGACTTCTTTGCTACATACATCACTACACTATTTATAATAGACAGTGGACTTTTCTTTGCAAATGAAAATTGGATGTCATTTTTTTATAATGTGACTGCACCTTTAGTACAATGTTATGTAGCTTCTGATGATTCCACACACAACCATAGATGGAGCAATGCACAGTGGAAAGGATGATCCTGAATCAACCATCTCTTTTGAGATTCAGCCAAGGTTTGGTCTTTTATCTGCTACGGAATGAGGCAGGGAGGCTAAAAGCTTAGGAGGATATGCTTGGTTACCTCTGAAAGGCCAAAGAGCAAGCTGGCGTCGACTGCATTCCTGTGTCTTCTTTCTACCACCCCCTCGTCCACACGCACTCTTGTGTTCCCATAGCGAATGAATTGCAAAGACCCTGATTGGATATAGGGGGTATTTTTGTTGCCCATCCAAATGCTGACCTGTCTTTTTTTCTTCCTAAGCAGGTCAGATTCCAGGAGCCGAAGCCAAAAAGCGACTTGGCCCCTCAGATCCGACTGTGTTGTTCAGTCACCTGGCCAGTTTAGCCCACATGCGGTACAGTAGCCCATCAACAAATCCTCATGCCCTGACAAATCCTGTAATCGTCACTGAATAGTTACCACAGAGTTCACGAGAGGTGACTGGAAAATGGCCCAGTTAATCACAAAGGCTCAAACACAGCTGGGAATTAGCCTGGCTCGGCACATTGTCTGCTCACATTCACATCTCGCGCAGCTGCATCTCAATTTTATTTACCAAAAACTTGCATTTCTGATTCTCCAAATGTAGTTGTATTCACAACTTGCGTTTGATGTTTTTATAAAAAATCGTCGCCTCACAAATACTAGTCATGTTTCACTCTGCCAAAACCTGGTAGTCAAAGGGATGTAGAAGCACATGACTCTTTTACAATGAATGTTTTGAAGAGGCTAATTTTCTTTGCAGTACAACCCCCCTCCCCCCTCCAATGGTCTTAACAGCTTTAAACAAGAACTGTTAGTTGCTTTGTTCCTTAAGGCCTTGTGAACATTGCAAAATACTTCTCTGTCCTGAATGTTTTCTTGCACATTTTACGTTTATGTTGGCATAAACTAACATTATACAACATATTATAACCTCACATAGCTTAACATACAAACATAACATAAGCTAACTTAACATAACATGCATGCAACGTATAAGATCACCTAACATAAACCTAACAAGATATGTTTACACATCCAACATACAAGCAAACCTAACATTATAACATAAGATAACCTAAAATTATATCATACAACCTAACATAACATAACTTAACATTACAAATAACATAACATACAACAAACAAACATAACATGCAACCTAACATAACCTATAACATATAAGCTACCTGGAGCCTGGACATAAAGAACCTAACAAAACAAACTACAGCATATATGCTAACATGCAACCTATAACATATAATCTACTCAGACATAACAAAGAACCTAACATAACAAACTATAGCATATGCTAACATAACATGCAACCTATAACATAACATATAATCTACCCAGACACAAAGAACCTGACATAACAAACTATAGCATATGCTAACATAACATGCAACCTATAACATAACATATAATCTACCCAGACACAAAGAACCTAACATAAAAAACTATAGCATATACTGTATGCTACCTAACATAACAAACTATAGCATTTATGCTAACATAACATGCAACCTATAACATAACATATAATCTACCCAGACCCTAACATAACAAACTATAGCATATATGCTAACATAACATGCAACCTATAGGCTAACATATAAGCTACCCTAACATAACAAAGAACCTAACATAACAAACTATAGCATATATGCTACCTAACATAACTATAGCATTTATGCTGATAACATGCAATAACATAATATAATCTACCCAGACACAAAGAACCTAACATAACAAACTATAACATATAAGCTACCCTAACATAACATAGGCTTATCCTAAACTATCATATAACATATCATAATATTCTAACATAACATTAGCCAACCTAAAACTTAACATATAGCTACTGTATAAGCTAACCTGAAATAACAAATAACTTAACATAACATATAAGCTAAAATAATAACATACAGCCTGCCTAATATAACAATTAATAGGCTAACATATAAGCTAACCTAGCATTACATAAAACCTAATATAACAATCTTTAACATATATTCTATCCTAACATTAAATAAATCATAACATAACAACCTATAACATTATAAGTTACCATAAAATAGCATACTACTTAACCTAACAATCAAAAATGGGGTCGTGCTGTTCATTTTTGAGACATGACATAGTGTCACATGTTTGTCTTTTAGTGTGGTCCAGCTTAATTAGCTTGACTGAAAGAGTAGCTGGAATAACATCTAAACAAAGACCCGAGTCACTGCCTGTTGCTAGCGACTCGAGTCCTCTGAAAACATATTTTAGCTCACTTATAAATGACTTCTACAGGTGGTTCAACAGCTGTTCACTGCACACTTGAACAAACTGTACACAAATCCATAGTGCTGGCTTTACCAGATATTCTCAGTAAAATAGATTACATATAAACCTTTAGTATGCGTAAAAGAAAAAAAATCTCTTCATTTTATATCAAAGGGACACGCCCATAAAAAAACAGAGTAAAAACCAAACGACATGAACCAGTAGTCTGTAATTGCATAAACAGACTTCAGCTTACATTTCAGACTTTTGAGTAAATATTTTTTCAGAGAGCACCTGTGGCCCTCATAACTGCTCTTTAATATACACCACCGAAGCTTTTTTCCCTGCATCTCTAGCCAGAGCTTACAAACCATTTACTTACTGGCTGTAAAAAAGAAGAGAAAAAAAAAACACATCATGTTTGATGTGGGATATGGTCGAAGCCAAGTCGAAGCATGCATGCTCTTTTTTTTTTCAGATGAAGAATGTCAACAACATGTTTATAGGACTGATATGCTTTTATGTACTGAGAAAACCAAGCTGTTTGGTGGAGATCGACTAAAAACATTCAGAGCTTTAAAGAATGTTGTTGGTGTTAACGAGAAAAGAGAGCATCCATTAATGTGAACTACTCTAATGTCTATTAAATTACTTTATTAACTGTTGGAGCTATTAGTATTTATAATACACCATGCTAATTTAACATAAATTAATTTGTGGGAGAATATGTATTACACCTTTATTTAGGTCTAGTTAAAGGTAGAAAGGGAAATAGAAAAATGTCCTTTTACTATAAATATTATCATAAAAGCATTTACAAATACTATTATTCTTGGGTTAGACACTGAATGAATAAACCTGATTTGTATACCAAGCTAAATATTTAATAATAAATACAACTCAATTCTGTCTGTCAAGTAGCAAATTAAAACAGTTTAATTAAAGGATAAGCTAATATTTAACATGTTCAAGCAGAATATTCTGAACAGTGATATTGGCTTCAAGCTGAAACCTCCCATTGGCCTGTTTTCACTCAACACGAAGCAATAGAGAAACCACAAGAATCTGTTCAAATCCACCAAAATCCCTATATTAAATCTAATGTGTTTACAAGAGGGGTTGATTTAGTTGTTTTTGTTTTTCTGAATTCACATTAAACCGTAATTCAATCACAAACATGTTTTACAGTTTATAAAACTTAAACTAGCAATAATAACAAGGAATAGTGGGAGTTTTGTATCTACAAAGTAGTCAGTTTTAAAATTATATGTTATTTTCAGAAATATAAACAGAAGAATTTCTTGTATTTTCAAATTCTAATGTCCATTTTAAGAAAAAAGTCACTGCCTTAATTTTTTAAGTAAAATCAACTTGGAAGTTGAAGTCATTTCAACTAAAATGACATTAAACTGACTTGAAAAAATGAGTTGAATCTTGTATAACTTA